TCAAACACTTTAGACGCACCCTTGAAGGAAGACAGTTAGTAATATACACTGATCACCGCCCATTGATTTATGCCTTCAAGCAAAAAAATGAAAAGGCTACCCCGTTGCAACTAAGACGCTTACAATACATTTCCGAGTATTCCACTGACATTAGACACATAAATGGCAAACTCAATGTGGTTGCTGATACACTTTCTAGAATCGAATCTATCAGCATCATCGATATGGATAAAGTAGCAGAAGCCCAAGCCAATGATCCTGAATTTCTGTCAGTGAAGAATGGTGAAACATCACTAGAATTTAAACCTTATCAACTGCCAAGTAGAAACAGTTTGTGGTGTGACATTTCTACTGAATCTGTAAGACCTTTCATACCTCAAACATTTTGTCTATTGTTTTTTTAACAAATTCACAACTTAAATCACCCAGGTGTAAAAGGCACTGTCAAACAAGTTGGTGCACGTTTTGATTGGCCAGATCTTAACAAAGATGTGAGAGATTGGGCAAATTCATGTATAGCTTGCCAAAAGTCTAAAGTGATAAGACACAAAATCACCATTTGGAATATTTCAACCGCCAGATGAGAGATTTTCTAATGTACACATCAATCTGATTGGCTCATTATCTCCTTCAAATGGTAACACCTATCTACTAACTGCAATAGACAGTTTTACAAATTGGATGGAAGCTATACCAATGGCAGAAATCACTACAGAAGTTGTCACCAGATCATTTAATGACAATTGGATTGCACGCTTTGGCGTTCCATCCTCGCTCAAATCTGACCAAGGTCGACAATTTGAGGCGAACCTATTCAAAAACCTATGTTATTTATGTGGAATTAAATAGTGGAGGACAACTCCTTACCACCCTCGATGTAATGGGAAAGTGGAACGACTACATAGCACCCTGAAAACTGCTCTGAGAGTAAATGGTTCACTATAATGGTCAGAAGCCCTACCAATCATTCTTCTGGATTTACGAGCCTCATTCAACCCCGATACATTTGTCTTCATTGCATAATTGGTATACAGCACCACTATCAAGTTGCCTGACGAATTTCTTGGACAGCCAGCTCAACGCATAAACGATGTAGAAACTTTTGTATCACAACTACAAGACACTATGAGACAACTGAAACCTGTTGCAGTGAAGCTACTAAAGACCAACAAGTCTTTCTTCATTCATAAGGATTCGGCTGAATGCACTCATGTGCTTGTAAGAATTGACCAAATGAAGAAACTCTTGGAAGCATCTTATGGTGGACCCTTCAAAGTGATTGCCAGATCTGACAAATTTTGGTTTATTATTTTTAATAATCAATCACTGTGATCGACCAAAAAATTCAAAAACTTAACCCTCTCTCAAAATTTGAGGTTTCACGTTTCAGGATGTATTAGAAAATTGAATTAGAAAAACGAATAAAAATTTGTTTGTCTGTCCGCCGTCCGCGCATTTTCTCCGAAACTACTGGACCGATTTTTTTAAAATTTGGATATAAAATCAGAGGTCACTCAAGGATGATTCTCCTTTATCGACATTATTATCCGCCTTTTACTTTCAAAATGGTGGCCAAAAAAACTGTGTTGCTATAGACTTTAGCACCTAAACGAATGTAGCGATTTCAATGAAACTTCGCTAAAGTAATTTTCTCTACGCCCTTAAAATTTATCTATGTAACATACTTCAAAAAAAGAAGCTAGAAAAAAGTTACGAGGGATGGTAAAATTCAATTCCGAATAACTCAAAAAGTATACCCTTTTTTGTGGATATTGTGATAAGATGTTTCAAAGGTATTTAAATTTCCTAAAAAATGAAGGAAGTTTCATCGAAATCAAAGCACTATAGCATAGATATCGCGATTTTTAAATATTTTTGGTTTATTATTTTCAATAATTAACCATTGTGGTCGACCAAAAAATTCAAAAACTTAACCCCCTCTCAAAAATAGAGGTTTCACGTTTCAGGATGCGTAGAATTCTTTGGAGCAAAGATAGAGTCTCCGGTTTTTTTTTTATGTGTTCTACTCCAAATGTTTATATCCTTTGTTTGGTTTTTAAATTTTGAATGTGTAATGCTATTTTTTTTTTTTAGCATATTAATGATTAAAAAAAAAAAATCGTTCAGTCCAATAATTGGAATCACCTAATAGTTATTTTTCTTTGTAACTAGAAGGTAATGTTACTTTAGATGTAAAATTAGTTGGAAATAATAAACCATTGTGGAATAATTTGAAGCGTTTTTTATACTGCAATTGAAGAATAGAGAAACAAACATATCAATGGACCGCCTAAAACCGGCTTATCTCTTGGCATCACCAGAAGAACATGACCTTCGTACAACAGAGCCAGACCAGCGTTCTGCACAAACTTCTCCTGAAGAGACTAACGAACCCTGTTCAGGTTTCAGTACCAGTAAACCACTGATGCAAACCACACGTAGTGGTTGTTCAGTGAAGTTTCCATCTTTGTACTTGGATGCAATTATTTTCTAAAGTTAAATCGATTGTTGTAAAAATATAAAGAATCAAATAGAAATATTATAAGAGAAGCGTTTTACTTTTTTCAATTATAATTTGAAGATTTCCTGTATTCGACATAACATATAATATCAGATCTATAATCACTTAACTACAGTAAATATATTTAAGGTTATGAACATATGCTTTATACATAAATGAAATGATTATATATTTTACTTCTTCTTTCACACAAGTACAATGAAATAGTTTTTAAAACAATGCTATTGCCTTGATTAGGTGGATTTTAAATACTTTCTACAAATGTAAAAATATTTTTTAAAGTTTACATTTAGTTAGTAAATTTTATTTAATTTCCTTGAAAACATGTGATTTATGTTAAATATTATCAGTTTTCAAAATTTATAATTTATGATTTTTTTGCCGCTCTCTGTTACCTTCTACCACTTTCTACATTAGATATTGTTTTTTTTTTTTCTAAAATTCTCCGCTTTCCAACGATATATTACAAGTATACTTTCTGACTTGTATTTCCGGAGATTCATTTCCAATCTGGATAAGCATTTTTATTTTTTTCTCCTTTATTCAATTATCAAATTCTTTCAAAAATTATATTTAGCATTTTTTCGTAACTTTTAATAATGAGAGATAGTTGATTATTTAAATAAACAATATTAAAGGGACTTTAGAGGAAGACGCATATGAACATTGGGGCTTTAAGCCCTGTAAAGTGACATCAACAGGGATAAGACCTAAGTGATATTAAAGACCACTTAAGACTTTTCGGTTTCGAGCTAAAGTGTTCACAGACATACAGACCATTTTTCGGAACTTGGTAATTTGGACTCACGGGACCTCAAATAGCCAAGTATTTCCGTTGAAAAATCAGATTAAAAAATGTTCACAATCGCAATGCTTATACTTACTATATATTACATATGTAGGTAAGTGAAAGTAAAAAAATCATCCACTTAATTTTTTTAATATAATATTTAATGAAGTTATAATTGTTCTTAGATTTGTATAATAAAAAGTATTTCTTCTGTTGATAATTACTTTATATATAATTATGATATATGTATCTCTTTTCATTATCACACTTCCACATGTTTAATGGTAATTTTCATTTTTTTAGTTGTGAATTTTTCTTCATTTTCCTCACCAGTTAGAGGATGTGTTGTCAGAACAAAAAATATAAAGCAAAATATATATATTTTTTTAAATATCTGTAAAAGTACTTGAGGAGGAAAGATATGCTACGGCAGTCTCTCTTCGGGCATCAATAATTGTTCCATTGTAACTAATAGAAGCAGAATAACTTAAGTAATAAAATTCGTGCAATATGTTCCTATCATTAAGTGATAAAAACGATGTTAATTTCATAACTTTTCACTCAGTCTCTTTTGTGATATTCAACTATTCAATGTGATATTCAAATTCCCCTAAAATATCATTGACTGTAATTGAAAATTCATATTTAGAAAATGACGAGGTTATTAAGAATGGAATTTCTCCAGCATACATTCAACTGACAGAACTGTACAAGAAATAAAATTTAAATTTGAGTCTGTTCATTCTTACATTATTAGAGATAAATGTCTCGTTATTAGTTAATTTTCATTTCTTTTTAACCACTTTCATTCTATGATGATACATTGAAAAAACATGAAAAATGTAGGAAAAATTATATCATTATAGTTATTATTTTGCTTAGATATTTAAAAATTTGCCAGTTACAGATATTTTTCCTAAACATACTTTCAGTAGAACAGCAAAATTACCGCACATAAATAAATGTGAGTTCTTAACCACAGTTTTGAGCTCATCATTCAATAAGTAAATAACTGGTGAAATGATTGTTGAAAAGTAAAACATCTCGTAAAAAATGTCGTACAACAAAATTAATTGGAATTGGGTGATTACAAATGGATTGACCTTCTATTGATGTAAACAACTATGTACATAGATACTTAATGCTTTCAAAAAATTATAAGTTTTCATCATTCAAAAGGAATTTGGTACCATTATAATAAATAGAGGGTCTAAGTACAAAAACTTGAAAACTACTATGAGCAGTTATTAGTATTAGTATTCATTAATTACTACCCCTAAAATTTAAAATTCAATATATTCTTTGTAATAAAATTGCTGTAAGTCTTTCAAGCAGAACAAAACAGAATTGTAGGATCGAAGCTTTATGCATTGGCCAAATATATACTGATCCAATAAATCATTTAAAAACAATATACCATAATTTAATGACTGTTAAAGGTGGTTTCACTCACATTATCAGGGGTATCAGGGTCGAAACTACTTAGTTCTTGAGAATGTTTCAAGTCTAATTCCATTTCCAGTTTAGAGATTAAATCTGAAACTTCTTTCTTTTTCTTTTTATCTCCTTTAGTTGCAGTTTTTTTCAAAGCTTGGATTTTACCTGATGCAACAGTATAATATATTGATAAAGTAACTACCTAACCTGAAAGAATTGAATATTATTAAAATGGTTATCTGTCATAATTACCCTGCAGTTCCTTTTTTTCCTTACGATGTCTTGTGAGTAATTCTTCATAGTTATCCATTTGATTATTTGTTGAACGAAGATCTCAAATAAAAATAACTAAAATGCACATAAATTGAAATATGACCATATTTTTTAACAAGAAAAAATATCCTTGTGGCAATTGACAGGCCAAGTGCGGAGGTTGATGGTTGCCGGTTTCAGCAAAGAGCACAAAATAAGTGCTAAATTTGAATTAAACACTTAATTCATGTTGAACTTATTGAACATGTTGAATTTAACATAGAATAAATTACATCATATAAAATAGTAGATGAACTAAAATGATAAGCCTAATAAATAACTTTGAAAAGACTTAGTATTATCGTAGTACTTAGTATTATCAGTTCATTATGACAAAGAGAAACTATTCAGCAAGTAAAACCATCTGAAATCAATACGATTTTGACTTTAATCGATAGATAATCTAGAGAAAGTATATAAACGTCACAATGTAATGACAAACTACAACTTGCTTTTATTCACTATAAATATTTTTCAACTGAAAAAAAAATCCATAAAAGCCCAACTAATTGCTGTTTCCTCGCTAAACTTTTATTGCTCCGATCAAATCATTACTCGATATTAAAACATAAATCTGTTAAAACCGGGAATATTCCCCCTTCAGGATCATTCCCAATATTTACCTATTCAATCCAGCCCAGACGGATTACTTGGTCTCTGTGCAACAACGGGAAAATAAAAATAAACAGCCTAGGCTTTACCGCATGGTAAAGTCTTACAGTACATCGAGTACATCCGAATCTCTTTTACTCTATAGAGTTCAGAGACTGGATTTATGTGATCCAAGTAGACTGGTACAGTCAGGGATGCCCATTCCCCCAAGATCGATGGCGCAAGAATCTACCCCGTTCCCCTTCCAGGATATTTTATTGCTCATATTTTCTTTAGAACAGAGCAAGGGAATGTAGAATTAGAAAAATCGTAGATCATACAAAATTATACTTGCTTCTGTCTGTTCCATGTTTTTCCCTGGCCCTTTATTCCGGAAATTTTCATTCCGAAAATTCATTACCCTGTTAAAATTGCCCCCCTCAAAAATTCAAAAACCCGTCAAAATATGGCGCAATCAAAATATTTGAGGTGGCCATAAAACCCCCTTCTGGGCATCCCTGGGTGCAGTTATAAAGGTGGGTTTAGACATTCCACAAACTATGGGAAACAAAATTATCTAACTTTACTAACAGCGAAATTATTGCTTAAACTGTTGGATTTACATCCACAATTTTTATTGTTTATAATATTGATTATCATATTGTAATTTACCTTGTATAAATAACACGGAGCCCCCCGGTCTCATCCTGTTCAACTCCCTCTCTAAGACGGCGTTATCTACGTCTAAGGGTCAGATGCTTGAAGACGAAGCACAAGGCTTACGGTCCCACTTGCTTAACCGACTTAAGGGAAGACAGCCAGCGGAAAACCTTAACGCCCACTTACTTTATTACGAGAAAATTACAGCCCTTCGGTTACACACCAGCTCCTAAACATTGGGCGAGCGGCGGCATCGAGAGAGAGAGGAGGCGGACCACAGGCGCAAGACCGGCCCCTCATCAAACTGTATGTTAGAATTGTTACGATTAACTAATACAATAAAACTGGTTGCCCCTTCTGGGACATTACTTGGAAAAACGAAATTAAGGGACAGTAACAAAATAATTAGTAGAGTCATTCACAAATATTCCTTCGTCGAACTTTTTCATTTTTTTTTTATATCACAAGAAAAGGGCTCCCGGTCATACAGCATGTTTCGGGCGCCCCAATATTGTACAAAACTATTTATTTAATTTCCTATGATACCGATAGCAGATAGAAAATATCAAAAACAAGAAACAAACATACTAGCATAGTGAAATAACCATTTATATATTTTTTTATCCCACAGTTTGTAAAATTTTTAAATGCACCTCAAGGTTTTTATTGCTTAAAATCGATATAATAAATAGAGTTTATGTTATTTTGATGGTCTTAATGAGTTTTTATATTGATGAATATGACCTAAATTCAAAAATATGTTGTTTGAGGTTCAGACATATTGCATTAAAAATGCGCTTCAAAAACGTCTTGTAACAGCTCAATTTCGACAGACAATAATTGCTTTTCGAAATAGAGTGGTAAGTGAAACTTGTGTGATGGGCGCACCAGATTGTTACCATAAGTAAGGCGCTGGCCCACTTACTCATTAGTGGAACAGTCAGGTTATATAATGCTTTATAAAGCTCTTCGGAATAATAATCATTATTACTAGGTACCTCAGATACTTCCAACTTCAAGACAGAAAACACCAGACCTACTTGATTTTTTCGTCACTAAAGGACTAAGGACTGTACCATACACTATAAATGCAAGCTGCGATCTTTGTTCTGATCACTCTCTTCTCAGCTTAGTACTGTATGATGAGCCATGTACTACAATGAAACGACCATCTCTCGGAGGAATTATCGATTGGGATGGGTATCAAGAAAAGCTAAACGAAATGCTCTCTACTCCAATGTCTCTAAGGAACGAATATGAAGTTGAAGAAGCTGTGGATAAATTCACAAACAGCATTCAACAAGCTATATTGTCTTCTTCTGTCCCAAGGTCCAACAGAAATGAGTGGCTTCCAACATATCCTCAGTACATAAGAGATTTGATCAGGGCAAAGAGAACAGCTCGCAAAGTATGGCAAACTGGTCGACTGCCATCTGACAAACGGACATTCAATAGACTTAACAATGAACTAAAACGACATATTCAAAGTTATAAAACTACAATTTACGACAACTACATCAGAAATCTCTCTACTGACGATGGGAGCTTATGGAGGCATACAAAAAAACTTGTAAATCATCGTGAAGTGTCTGCACCTCTCCGAAACGAGGATGGTTCCTGGGACGTGTCAGATATAGAAAAATCGGAGCTATTCGCTATCCATCTTTCTTCTGTTTTTACTCCACATACTGATTTCAACAACATTGAACACGAAGAAAAAGTACAAAACACTTGAGACATTCCACTACAATTAGAATTACCTCCACCTTGTTTCACTCCGAAACTTGTTGCAGAACAAATTAGACAATTACCTAAAAAAAAAGCCCCTGGTCATGACCTGATAACTGCTCAAGTGCTCCAGAAAATGTCTAGAAAAGCTCTAGTTTACTTAACATCTATTGACAATGCAATACTCAAAACGACCAAATTTCCTGTACAATGGAAATACTCACACATTACAATGATCCACAAACCAAACAAAGACAAATACACCCCTTCATCATACAGGCCAATTAGTTTACTCCCAATATGTTCCAAAATCTTTGAAAAACTACTATACAAAAGACTTATGAACATATTGACGGACGGAAAAATAATACCCGACCATCAATTTAGATTCCGACGACAGCATTAAACCATCCATCAATTACACAGGGTGACTGACTACATTGCAACAGCACTGGAGAAAAAATTGTATGCAACTGGAGTATTTCTGGATGTCGCTCAAGCATTCGATAGAGTATGGCATAAGGGTCTTCTCTTCAAACTTAAGACGATACTCCCTCCTACCTATTATCTTATACTTCAATCCTTTCTTTCTGACAGATTTTACTCTATCTGCCAAGGCTCAGAACTTTCTTCAATAAGACCAGTCTTAGCAGGTGTTCCTCAGGGGTCAGTACTAGCTCCGCTTTTATACATTATATACACACACGACATCCCTAACAGCGCCAGAACTATTATAGCGACTTACGCAGACGATACAGCTATTCTGACAAGACAAAAAAAAAACCCAACACACGCCACACAGACTTTACAACATCATCTAACAAAACTAAACGACTGGTGCAAACTCTGGAAAATTCGACTCAACCAAGACAAATCACAACACATCATTTTTACTCTTCGACATGGAACATGCCCTCCTATTTACCTTGACAATGCCGAAATTCCTCAAACAGATAAAATACAATATCTTGGACTGACATTCGACAGAAGAATGACATGGGGTACACATATCAACAAAAAAAGAAAAACATTAAACCTCAGACTACGACTGTTATACTCACTTCTCTCAAGACGCTCTAAATTAAACCTAAAACAAAAACTGAACACTTACAATTATCTACTTAAGCCCATATGGACCTACGCTTCACAAATTTACGGAACAGCCAAAACGACACACATACGAAAACTAAAAACTTTTCAGTCTAAAACTTTCAGAACCATAACCAAAGCTCCATGGTACGTCACAAACATTACACTACATAAAGACCTTAAAATGCCAACAGTTAACGATCACATACGGACATACTACAAGCGATTTCACAATAACTTACATGGACATACTAACACACTTATACAAAGTATGGCTATATTTAACATGCCCGAAAACACACTTAGGAGGCTCAAAAGGAGCTGGATGAGGGATTTCCTCACTTAAAAATATGCTAAAATCAAGACAGGAAGGGATGCTACTGGGTACTCCTCTCCATCACGCCGATCAAGCCATTACCTGTACACTTACCGACAGAAGACCCGCTAATTATCATTGCATATGACAGGTGTGGGTGAATAAATAAAGTTAATAAATAAAAAAAATATATATAACCATGCTTAATGAAAAAAATTATCTCTAAAAGTATTATTGTTAGTCTAATTACATTGAATAGGACTTAAAGAATCACTTAAACAACAGTTCATATAGGTAGTTAGTTTCTTTCTTTCTTCTGAAGTAATTATCCTAATATATAAATAAATAAAATATGAAGGAAGGAGATGTTCCAGGTGGCGGTCATAAACAGGCTTAATAGTGGTAAAACTATTTTACTAAAAGCCAACGTTTTGACCCGACTTTGCAGGTCTTCTTCAGGGAGGTAAGTTCAGCTAGGAATTTCACTTAGAACTGACTAGTTTTGCCACTATTTAGCCTATTAATAACCGCCACCCCGGACCATCTCCTTCTTTTATAATGCAACGGTCAACTATTAAATATCCGATAAAAAAAAAAATCTTTCGGGCTGAAGCCGCCTCCAAAATTAAATCCATTAGTGATCTGGCATGTTCATACAACCACTTGTATTACTGTGGGTATCTGTATCAGGTCCAGTTCCGTTGACTGTATCAACTAAATTTTAGCCTCAGATATCTTAATACAAAAAATATCTGATACAAACAACCTTATCTACCCGTAGTGCGTTGTAAGTAATAAATTAACCTTCTTTCAGTGTTTTTTATGTTTGGTTGTCAAGTTCAAATTTTGGATATTTTTCTATTGCTTTTATATCTTTTAATGTCGTGATTTTTTTTTTTTTAGTTTAATGTTTCAATATAATTAACATAAATTTTTGTTATGGCTAAAAGTAAATTCGAATATGTTCGCTATTTTGAACAAGAAAACAAATGTTTGAAAAATTGTTGGATTGTTGTTAGGATAGATGGAAAAAATTTTCATCGATTTACTGAAATACATGAATTTGATAAACCTAATGATATTAATGGTTTGAATCTGATGAGTAATGCTGCAGTTAATGTTTTAAGAGAATTTTCTGACATAAATTTAGCTTTTGGTCACAGTGATGAATTCAGTTTTGTATTTAAAAAGAAAACTAATATTTTTAATCGTAGGTCGGATAAAATTCTCTCCTTAGTTAACAGTATATTTTCTTCATCATTTGTTTTCTTATGGAATAAATATTTTCCTAATAAACAACTAATTTATGCTCCAGCATTTGATGCTCGCATTGTATTATATCCTACAGATCAAAATCTGAGGGACTATTTTAGTTGGAGACAAGCAGATGTCCATGTCAATAATCTGTATAATACTTGTTTTTGGGCTTTAGTACTAAAAATGGGACTTTCTCCAGTTGAGGTGATTTGCTTGCATTTTAGTATGAAGTATCGTATTATTTTCAATAAATAAACTTGACCAAATAGCGAGCTAAATGCTTTTTTGTACTAACTTTTTGTATTATTACTTTTAGCTAATTTTAATTAACGTAGTTAATTATAAACTATAGATCTAGTATTATTATCTTTGTTGATCAAATAAATTTTCCTTTTCCTTTTAAGCATCCTCGATACATAGCTGAATGGACAATAAAAATTTAACCATTTTCTATAAACTATATGGTTGATAAATGTTATGAATACACATCCTATGCTTCACAAGGGATGAGTTAAATTATCCACCACATTTCAATTCATCATTTATGGTGTGTGCTCAGATATCAATATCAATATCTGTTTTAATGTCTAATACATGTTTATAAACGACTCACATAATTTAACTTCTATTTCCTGCAACTTTTCACTGATTATTTTAGTCAATTTTTTTAAAAGTTTAAACGTTTCTTTAAAAATCACAATCTAAACTTTATTAGTTCTCATTATATGGATTTCATTGACGAAATTTATATTTAACTTATTAGGATTAAAAAAAAAAAAAATTAGAAACTAACAACATTGGTTTTGGTGTTGAACTAACTTCCTCTGTCTATGGTTAAATTTACATACTGATTTTTTAAAACAAAAAATGTACCTGTTAATATTGTTTAAAGGTTATTTTTTTATTAATTATTAATTATACATATTGGACAATTTGTCTGTAACGTAGTTCTTATTGAGCGATTAAACTAAATAAATGCAATTTGAGGAGTCTTGATTATTTTTCTGTGAAATTCAATACTTAAAATAATTGGTGCACTCTTAGGCATAAATATAGATTCTCATTTATGAACAATAATTTATTGATTTGTTTATTTCTATTTTAAGGCAGAAGAAAAACTTCGAGGGACATTATCAAGTGCCAAAAATGAATTGTTGTATAAGAACTTTGATATCAACTATAACAATGAACCAGAAATATTTAGAAAAGGTACTGTATTGGTTCGAAAATGTATAAGTTGGGAAGGTGCAACAAAACCTAAATCTGTTATTATACCTCTGCATTGTGATATTATTAAGGATGACTTCTGGAATTCACACCCAGAAATTTTGGATCAGTCAGAAACTCCATTGGTTGATAAATTAAAATTAGATCATTATTTTGTCTGTGAACAAAAAAATTTTAAGATGTGATTTTTTTTTTAGTATTATATTTTTTAATTTATTATTAATTAAAAACATGTTATATTTTATTGCTAATTATTATTTTAAAAAGAAATTAGTAAAATAAAACTGTTTAGTTCTACATGTATTTTACTTATCTTTGATAACAATCGTAATGATCTTAGTATTTATTTTATGGGTGATAAATATTCAGGACGCAATCATCATTAAGGTTTTATTAGTGCGGACATTCCAACCCAAACATGTGGGTCCTTCATCATTATTATTAAATTTCTGGGTATATCAAATTTAGTAAGATTTTCAACTCTATTTTTTGTGTGTAAGTTATCGTATTTTTGTATAAAATTTTCAAAGTTGGGAGTAAGTGTGTTATAATCTGATAGAAGGTTACTATTGTTTATATTTGTTAATCTCAGTGAAGTTACAACTACACAAAATTAACAAACTGAGAGCTATCATCAATAATATTGACGGACCAAATGAAGCACTATCCAAATTCCTAAAACCAGCTTTAAATAGATTAAACAATGACAACAATTTTGATGTAAAAAATGCAATAGAACTAAAAGAAATACTTAAAAATCTACAATTAAGTAAGGATGAAACAGAAATGATTAGTTTAGATGCTGAATCCCTAATTACAAACATCCCAATTGATGAATGTATGAAAATTTTAGACGAAAATTGGGAAAATATAAAGACTGAAACAAAAATTAAAGATAAAAAATTTTTTTTAGAAGGAGTGGAGCTATGTACAAAATATAATTATTTCAAATACAATCATGAATATTATAAACAACTATGGGGGGTGGCCATGGGTTCAACATTATCCACCAATCTTAAAGGAATATATCTGAATAAATTGCTATCAATACAAATCACTGAAACTAAAAAATAAAGGAATCCTAATAAAAAAATATATAGATGATTTATTCATAATAATAAAAAGAAACACTGCAAATGAAATAATGGACTGTTTTAACAAATACAACAAGAGAATAAAATTCACATTGGAAAAAACAATAAATGATAAAATAAGATTTTTAAACATGGACATAATTTTAAAAGACCGACAAATACTAACAAAATGGACAAAAAAAGAACAAACAAGCAATAAAATACTCAAAATACAACTCCAAACACCAAATAATAAACACAGCCCAAAACCTAATAAACAATGCAATTACATTAACTGACCAGACTTACATTTCAAAAATTAAAACTGAAATATACAAAATACTAACAGAAAATTTCTACCCAATTAAACTAATAAATAAAATATGGTACAGTAGAGCAACAACAGAATACACATACAGAATTGGAACAAAAACAAAGAACAAAAAATACCAAAGACACAAATAAATAATATCGAACAACAAAAAAAACCTAAACAACAATTTATTACACAGTTTTTCAAGGAGACAACCACAACAAATGACAACATCCAAAACAATAATCCACAAACAAGCAAAGTTCACAATAAAAGAATATTTAACAAAATGGCATGCATACCACAACTTACAAAACAAATTAAAAAAGTATTCATGAACTATGATTTACCGGAAATCCAGTTTGGCATATATAATGACAAAAAATTAAGTAAATACTTGACAAACACAAAAGACAAGATAGAACGACTGGACAAGAAAAATGTTGTTTATAAGTTAACATTGCCAACAAATATATATAGGTGAAACATCAAAAAAACTAAAAACCAGAATAGCACAACATAATCAAACTGCAAAAATAGTAAAAATATTAACATAACAGCCCTAGCAAACCACAGTATTAAATCATTACACACTTTTGACTTCAAAAACCCAGAAATACTGGCTAATATGAACCTAAAACAAATAATAGGAAACTGCTGGAAGCAATACATATAACAGGAAACAATAATAGAACAGTAAACTATAAAACGTATACAAAACATTTAGGTACACACTATTCGGACATAATATCCAATATTAAAATTTAAAAAAACAACAATAGCAAAAAAAAAACACAACAAACAACCATAATAAGAAATAAGAGGATGAGTACAAAGTGCAGAAATAAAACTAAAAATAGCCAGATGTTGATTAGTGTATGAGTGAATATGTGTAACACCAAATAATTTTTAAAAAATGTGACAAATATTTAATTTTTGACAAATGGTGCCACATCAACAAAAAAAGAATGGTAAATAATTGTTAAATAGATAAATTGGAATGATATTGTTAAATAGAAATTAATATAGAAAATGTTCATAATTTCAGTAAAAATAAAAATATTACTCTGATGATGGGAAAATTGTCCCGAAACGTGAGAGACAAAAAGCATAAATAAAAAAATATGAAGAAAATTGGAAGTTTTATTGCCTAAAATATGAAGTAATTATGAACGTAAGCTTCCTAATAAAAAAGAAAAATAAGATGATTTATAATTATTGTAAGTGTGAATTGTTAAAGCTAATATAAGCAAACAGAGAATTAAGTTTTTTTGTTGTTTTTTTTCGAATTTCAAAAGAGTCATATCCATTTTTTGGAAACTGGTTTTTTAAAGTAGCAGTAAAGTAAACTGTTGCAACTACTACTGAAATTAAACAGTTTTGCCCATCACTAATCCAAACTTCATTTCTTCTTATGGATTAGACAATGGTATGAAATAAAAGTTATAATGTCAGTAATATCGCAAAATGCATGGTATAGAATGGAGTATCTTTAGCAGGCAGACTGGGGTAGAAAGTGTCATTCACAGATGAACAGTTCCTTAAAGTAATTGGTAAACTACATCCCATGACAAACCATTCACTCCTTCTTAGTTCTTCAGTACTCCTAGCTCTATTGCTGTACACATAGGTGTAAACAGTGTTGTTCCTCCAGAGTAAATTTTAAGAAGAAATACCTAGAAGTTTAAAACAATAAATAAATAACAGAAAACTTATTATTATTGGGAATTTTGTCGGTTAAATGGCACAAAAATAATACTAATAATTAGTATTAAAATAATAATCAAATGATACTTTTATACTTCGATTGTAATACTGTAGAAAGCAATCCTCCAATACCTTTCCTGACTCCCTCCAGAAAATTGTTTTAGTTATCCAAAAAGCTGTACACCCTTTCTTTTGTGAAAATCTTTGTTCATTATTTTCTTTCAATTATTTTATTTTAAAATATTATTATTGTTAAATATTAAGAATTATGTTAATTTTCAATCATTTGTTTTCATCCAAGAGTGCTAATTTAAAAATTATTTTAGAAATTACAAAAACTATTTGACTAAAACACACATCATAATATTTACTGTAAACATTTATATTTAATTTGTATATAGGTGTTGAAATTAACATTTTCGGTAAATGTAAAAATTGTTTTTATTATAAAGGTAGATCCTCTTATATATTGGTTACTGAAGAAAATAGATTTGCCACATTTTTATATTTTGACCTTAAAGTGGTTATGTGTTGCACCAAGTTCCATTGCTCTGTGAAATGATTTTCCAAGGCAGTGTAAATATTGAACAAAAACAGAACTCAAAGTTGTACAAAGTATTTTAAGTGGTTCCAAGCATGTTTATTAAATCTCGATTATTAGTTGTATTTAATTTTCGGTACTCCTTAAAGTACTATTTCGCTGGCGCGGCCCACGACCGCGACTGCTTGCGGTTGACCACTGCTTTAGTGGAATAGAAAGGAACCTATTTCGCTGGCGCTGCTCGGAAGTCTAGGTATGACGTCATATCTAAGCTGCTCCTATCTGACCGCTCCTGAAGCAGTGGAGCTGTTGGTGGTTCAGCGGTTGTAGGTTATGTTATTCATTTGTGTATTGTCTAATCTGCAATAGCTAAAGGTACTAATATAAAGTACTAATATACTGCAATATACTAAAGGTACTATTACCTTTAAGGTACTATTTCGCTGGCGTGGTCCACGACCGCGACTGCTCGCGGTTGACCACTGCTTTAGTGGAATAGAAAGGGACCTATTTCGCTGGCGCTGCTCGGCAGTCTAGACAAGACCACTACAATTTTTACCATTCAAAGCGGACGGGGTTGCCAGGTTTGTGAATTTTAGGTTGGCCATAAAAATGGGGGGCAACTGAATTGTAGGAGTAGGATACTTTATAAGTTTGGAATTTAAAAGATTTTTTTACTTGTAGGTAAAATTTGTTTTTTAGTGATGGGGTGGGAGAGTAAGTGGAACGGTCTGATAGGAAGTAATTGTCAGTATATTCTGTATGACCCATAATTTATAGTTTTGTTACCTTTATCAGCTCTCGTTATGATGATATTGTCATGGGATTTTAAGTTCTTAGTTCTCTGTTATTGTTATTATTCTACCTACTTTAATGTTCACTCCAGGGGTGTCCATCAGCTCTTCCCCCCAAGGTCGATGGCGCAAGAACCTACCCCCTTCTTAAAAATAAAGCAAGCTAAGGTAAAATTAGAAAAATATTAGATCATATACAATTACCCTTGCTGCGGTCTGCTCCATGTTTTCACCTTGTCCCTTAGTCTGAAAATTCATAACCCCGTCGAAATTTACAGCCCTCTAAAATTCAAAAACCTAACAAAGTACAGAGCACCTCTGTATCAAGTGCTTCCCCCACACCTACCTTTTCCTCCAATACTACCCATATCCTCCCACTCCTTATCTGAATTTAGCCGCTCAAAAGTCCTCTTTAATGGTTTTTACAAAAGCAAACTTTATTTTTATTTAAAATAAATTTTGTCTAATAATTAAATACTTTTTTTGTTATCACTTCCTATTCAACAAAAAACGTGACATAAAATATCACAAAAATTCATTACTTTTCTGCTAAAAACTGAACCATTGTTTATATAAACTTTTTTGTATTTATTGAGTTTTGCTATCACTTCTTTAAGTATTTCCCTCTACTTACGAGACACCCTGTTAAAATATGTAAAAAACTAAATTGCTAACATGGGTCACCTAGACAAAACTTTTTACAGCTAAAAATTCCAGATTTATCTGATCTTTTTGGTTTATTACTTTCAATAATGAATCATTGTGAGAGAATAAAAAATTCAAAAACTTAATCCCCTCTCGAAATTTGAGGTTTTACGTTTCAGAATACATGGAATTCCAAAATGAATAAAAAATTGATGTCCGTCCGTCGTCCGCGCATTCTCTTCCGATCTATTAGGCCGGTTTTTCAAATTTGGGTTTAAAATTAGAGGTCACCCGAGGATGATCCTGCTTCATCGACATTTCTATCCGCCGTTTTCTTTCAAGAATAACCTGCGTTGCTATAGACTGTAGCGCCTAAACTAATGTACCAATTTCTATGAAACTTCGCTAAAGTCTTCTTCTCGATGCCCTTTGAAATTTATCTATATAACGTACTACAACGAAAAGAAGCTGGAAAAAATGTTAGGAGGGATGGTAAAATTAGATTCCGAATTACACAATAGTATACACTTTTTGTCGATATTTTATAAGGTTATTTAAAAGTTTTAACTCCGCCTGCTGTCTCATTCAGAGGAGTCCCAAGCCCGGATAAAGGAGGGTTGGTTTGGTGGGCTAACTACCCACCAACCGTGAAAGACCTTAAGAGTTCTGAAAACAATACACAGCCTAGGATATTTGGATTGTCACAAATGTTATTTGACCCTGGCACGGAAACATTGGCTTAATATAGCTTCGTGGAATGTAATAGGATTAAACCGACCTGGATCTAGCAAGAGATAGGTTGAAATAATGGAATTGGACAATTATCTGCTTATTAACAATGGGCATCGTGCAAATATATGTGGGTCTAGATTCATGATTAAAAAATCTATTAAGCATACTATAATAGAGTATGAACTCATCAACAAAAGAATCTGCACAGTATGACTTAGAGGAAGATTTTTCAAACTAACAATCATGTCTGTACATGCACTCACAGAGGATAGAGAAGAGGAGGAAAAGGATATTTTCTATAATACAATAGAAAGAGAATATGATAGAATCCCGAAGAATGACGTGAAAATAATCATAGGTGACCTGAATGCCAAGATTGGAAAAGAGGGGCATTTAGACCCACTATAGACAAAGAAAGCAAACATGAATACTCTAACAATAATGGACATCGTATAATTAACTTTGCAATGGAAAGGGACTGGTCATCAGTAGTAAGAAATTTCCACACAAAGAGACTTGGATCTCGCCAGACGGTCTAACTAGAAATCAAAAAGACCATGTTCTCATAGAATCTAGGCATGCAGCGGATATCAGAAACATTAGAGTATTTAGGGGAGCGGACTGTTATCACAGTCTATCTATGCTAAAAGTCTGTTATCAACAAAAGCTATCCATAAGAAGGTGTAGCACGACAGAGGGTAGAGCACTGGCCTGCAACTAAGAAAAACTACTCAAAATGGAAGTAGCGGAAGTATTAAAAATAAAATAAAAGAAATTATAAAGAGTGAAAATATTTAAAAAAACACAACCATGAATGATAGATGGGAAAAAGTGAAAAATGCAGTGACAGAAAGTGCAAGAGAGGTACTTGGGAAGAAGGAACCAACTCCCAGAAGTAACTGGTTTGACGAAGAATGTGAGAGGGTTCTAGACGAAAGAAATAGGGCGAGATTAAACATGTTAAATAGGAAAACCAGAGAAAGTAGAGAGGAATTCATGACTAAAAAAAGAGAAGCTAAAAGAGTTTGTAGGCAGAAGAAGAGAGCATAGGAAAAGGAAAAACTTGAGAAGTTGCTGGACACCTGGGAAAAGAAAAAAACAAGAAAATTTTACAAAGTAGTAAATGAAATAAAAAAAGGATTTACTGCGAGAGCTGGATTGTGTAGAGGGAAAGAAAGAGATCTGATTGGGGAAGAGTCAAACATTCTCAAAAGGTAGAATCAGTACTTTAGTGAATTACTGAACAAAAAAAACCACTGAAAAAACATTTGAAGAGAGTAGCAACTTAAATACACTCCTGGGTGAAGCACATGAACGAGCGGAAGAAGTAGAAGCTCCGGAGAAGGAAGAAATAATTGATATCATTATCTCAATGAAGAATCATAAGTCGCCAGGTCTTGACGATATGACTCCAGAGATGTTAAAACATCATGGCAATGATCTGTGGGAAGAAATTTATGACTTAATTTGGGGGATATGGATGAAAGAAAAAATGGCTGAAGATTGGACAAGAGCAGCAATATGTCCAATACACAAGCAAGGAGACAAGCTAATATGTGAAAATTATAGAGGCATTGCTCTATTAAGTACAACCTATAAAATATTGGCAGTACTCCTACTTAAAAGACTGACAGATTTTACTGAAAAAATCATAGGAGAATGTCAAGGAGGCTTTAGGTCTGGAAGATCAACAGTTGACCAGATATTCTCTCTGAGGCAGATAATGGAAAAATGTTATGAATTTAACATAGACATGCACATTCTCTTTGTGGACTTCAAACACGCATACGAGAGTGCAGCCAGAAAGAGACTTTTGAAAACTATGATAGATGTAGGCATACCCAAGAAACTGGCCAGACTTACAAAAATGACGCTAATGAAGACTACCTGTCGAGTGAAACTTGCAAATTCGCTGTCCGAAGAATTTGAGATCGATAATGGATTTAGACAAGGTGATCCTCTGTCTCCCTTTCTTTTTAATCTTGCCTTGAAAGTGGCTACTCGTTCTATTCGAACAAATCCAGGAGGAACAATTTACAATCGTATGTCTCAACATCTGGCATATGCCGATGATGTTGTCATTATCTCTAAAACCCAAGCAGCATTATCAGGAACTTTTCAGGAATTCGAAGAAGCAGCAGCTAAACTGGACCTTAGAGTTAACGAAAATAAGATGGTGTATATGAAACATTCAAAAATGGAAAAGGAAGTGAGTAAAGAAATAGCATTGAGGGATCATAAGTTTAGTTCTGTTGACCAATTCAGGTACCTTGGAAGCCTGGTCACATGCAATAATAAAGTGGAGAGTGAAACAAACGCCAGGACTGCAGCAGGAAATAGATGCTATTTCTCACTGCAAAGAGACTTGAAGTTTAGATCACTCTCTAAAAGAATCCAAATTCTCATATACAAAACCATAGTAAGACTAGTGGTTATGTATAGGTGTGAGACTTGGACCTTAACCAAAAACTCAGAAAGTACGCTCAACTCCTGGGAGAGGAAAGTATTGAGAAGAATATGGGGCGGAATCTTTGAGAATGGAATTTGGAGAAGAAGAAAGAATAAGAGCGAAAAAGACTCTATGGCGAACCTGCATTGTAGCATTGATAAAAAGAGCCAGAATCAGATGGTTAGGTTATGTGGAAAGAATGCCAGATCAAAGAATGCCAAAGAAGATGCTGCATGAGAAACCAGATGGCAAAAGAAGGAGAGGGCGCCTTCGGATCAGATGGCTGGAGGATGTTGAGGACGATCTGAGGCGGCTGGGCGTTTGAAGATAGAGAGAAGAAGCAAGTAACAAGACCGTGGAGATTGGTTGGCTGTAGTAGAGGAGGCCCGGGTTCTTGCAGGACCGTAGCACAATGGTGATATTATTGTAATGACAATAATAATAATATTTATAAAAGTTTACGGAATTTCCTAAAAAACAAAAAAAAATCGTTAAAATCGGACAATTAGGAGCAAAGATATGGTCTCTAGACGTTTTTATATGTTATACTGCAAATGTTATTTACTTTGTTTTGGTTTTTGATTTTCGAATGTGTTACTGAAGTAACTACAAAGAATTTATGTACGGGTGGAAAGAAGCCATTGGACTCGCACACTTCAACCTCACAAGAAGAGGACCTGCGCCAGGGAGGCCGCCGGAACAAGGAGGAGCGGAATAAGGCCATAGACAACAAATTTAAGAATGAAAATAGGTCTCGTTGCAGAAGCAGGCTGTTATGGAGTGACGTAAACTGCCCAGATCTGCAAAACCCGTATTGCCTCAATGGCACGGTAGGGTGCAAATAAATGAATAAAAAAGTTACTGAAGGTAATGCTATTTTTTTAGCATATTACTAATGTTTAAAAAAAAAGTTTAGTCCAATAATTGGAATTACCTTTTATTTCTTTTTCTTTGTCACTAGGAAGGTAATGTTACTTTAAATGTATAATTGTTTGGAAATAATAAACCATTGTAAAATAATTTGCAGCGTTTTTTATGTGTTACCACTAAACAGTGCATCAAAGCGAAAAACGTATTCTTTAAGAAATTAAAGAAAGTCAAATTATTCGTCGAACGAGTACCTAAACTTAATAATTTAATTAAGTGATTACTACGGTGGTCGATAACCACGGTCAATGAACACTATTTTTTACCGATATTGTCAAAATCTGAGAAATATTACTATGGCTTGGAAATGAGTTCTCTAAGAAAAAAAAACTTAGAATAATTTCCGATTCCGATCATAATCAGATTCCGATCAAATCGGAGACCAAATAATTAGTACATTCCTTCATGAAAACGTTCTCTTCAGCAACTACTTTAATAAAAGAACAACACTTTCTAATGAGAAATATACAAATTATTATCGTGACCACTTTTATGAGTCGCATGGATACAGCAAGAAGACTATAGTTGCTGAAGGTTGCAATGCGTCCAGATCTATTGGAACTGAGTAAAAACTGGGCCCGGAAGAATTTTCTTATGCACTAATAAAAGGTTGTTCGAAAGAATGGATGAAGTTGATTGTTTTTTTTTTTTATAATTTTACACCATCATGTATTTCACCTACGAAACTCAGTTCAGAGTCAATAGGAACAAACTGCGAAAGGAACTCAAGCCTTCACATCTCTCGACGGCCCAAAAACTACATCACTCTTTTCTTTAAATAGCTGTTTTTTTTTTGTTTTTTTTTAACATCCAGAGAGAAACGCGCCCGCTGGCAGAATTCGCTAGTGCTGTTCACGATAGTAATTTTTTTAAATATTACATTAGGAAATTCGTGTATGAGGATGAATTTTCCCTAAATAAGTGTTTTTTGTCAAATTTTTGATATTTTTTACAACATCTAAGGGAGGGCACGCCCCCTGGCAAAATTCGCTAGTGCTGGTCACGATAGTATTTTTTGTTTTATATTACATTAGGAAATTCTTGTATGAGGATGAATTTCCCCTACATTTTTCTTTTCTTTAAATAGGTGTTCTTTTGTTTGTCACTTTTTCGGAATTTTTTTCCACCAATGTTTCTTGGCAGAATTCGCTAGTGCTGGTCACGATAATAATTTTTTTTTTTATTACTCATTCTTTATTCATTATATCTCTCATTCGGAAATTCACAATTTATGAGGATGAATTTTCCCTATATTTCTTTTTTTTAAAGTAGCTTCTTTTTGGAACTTTTTTTTCCAGCCTCCAGGGGATGCCGCGCGCCCCCCGGCTGGATCCGCTAGTCCCCACAATTATCAATTGAAGAAACGTTCATAAGAATCGATTCTTCACAATGATTGAATCGTTGAGAATCAATTCAGCTAAACGAAGGAATTTCTCATTTACGACCCTAGGTCAATAAAACTACCTTGGTTAGTTTTATTGACATTGTTTACGACCTAATGCCCTAATGCCCAGCATAACAAGTTACCAGTAGGACTATCTATAGTATCGATATATCGATAGTACTATCGACTGTCGCCTATCTACTGTTATCTACTCTTCAAGGTTTGTTTGTGGCGGTCCATTAGCATTTCTTGAAACATGATAAATTTACAATTTTGTAAGGGTTCATTTCTTTTACATAAAAGATATTTTTCCATAGCTCTGAAAAATGGAGAAAACGTGTTAAATGTTTTTGATAGAAAGACTAAACATATTCAAAAGTCTAGAGCATCAAACTTGGAAAATTTCATTGTATATGATTATTTGAAGGAAGAAGTTGGCTGGAGGGTGGCTGATCGCATATTGGATATTAATAGAAAATTTAAAAACGTAGTTGATTTAGGTTGTGGTAGGGGTTACATTTCGAAACATATGCTCGCAGATTCTGTTGAAAATCTAGTAATGTGTGATATGAATAATTCAACTCTAGAACAAGCTTCTCTTCCAGAAACTGGAGTTAATGTTAGGAAAGAAGTTGTGAATGAGGAAGAACTTCCCTTTGAAGAGGGTAGCTTAGATTTGGTGGTGTCCAGTTTAACTTTACATTGGGTCAATGATTTGCCTAGTTCCTTTAAACAAGTAATACAATCTCTAAAAAATGATGGTGCCTTTCTAGGAGCACTCTTTGGTGGTGATACTTTGTATGAGTTGAGGTAATTTAATTAATTGTTGGATATTATTTACTTGAGAAATTGTGAATAATATCAGTGTAAATTATTAAACAAATATTCCTTCCTTATAAATTATTTAAAAATTAAACTCATTACGTCTACATATTGAGGCAATGCATATCTTCGAAACCCTCACCGTTTACCCAACCAGTGTACATATGAGCAATTAGAAAAAATTAAAATAACACAAATGTCAGCATATTTGTAACATTCCATAAAACTAAACCAGTAATCCATTAATATTGAGTAGAGGAAAATAAAACACTTTGAGAATGTTACTGGAATCGATCTTTAAAACAAAAAACATTTTCAAAATGGATACTAAGAAATTCCATAGTAATTATGCGGATATAATAAACAAATTAAAATTAAGATAAACAGAACTGTAACCATGAAAATAGATTATATTAATTGAACAGAAAAAATCAGACAGAAAAATATTTAATACACCATAATAATTAAAAGAAATTTCAGAATTAAAAGTAATGTAGGGTGTATATTTATAAACACACACACACACATATATATATATATATATATATATATATTTAAAGAGTTAATATATTCGATTTCAGCAGCTACAAAAAAGTCCACATGGACTATGGTTTGTTTCTGAACAAATAAGCAAGAAAATATTAGTTTTGTGTTGTTTTAGTGGTTACTAAAACATTACTTATTAACTATATACCAATAAATATAGTAAATATTAAAGGCATTTTAAAGAGGGCTTTTGAGCAGCTAAGTTACAATAAGTTCTATTTTTCATAAAATCTTGAGTTATTTCCAATTTTTTTTATATCAATCTACAGTTATACTTTTAGAAAAACTTCCTTAATAAGCTTAAACTCCATATTAATAGTTTTGTCCCAGAACAAGCTGAGATTCGTTGCCAGTTTTGTATATAATACACCTACAATGATGATAGTTCCATACTTGAGATATGGGTAAATGATCCCTAGGATATTAAGTGACAAACTAAATGTTCTTATCTCCTAGTCCTAATATTTAGTTTTTATAAAAATAATTCAAGAAACTGGCCAGTGTCGTTTCTTGAAGAATGTTAACTTACTAGTTAAATTATAATTACTAGTTAAATTATAAAATTATTACTATAATTCCATTATGGAATCGGACCGTAGTCTATGTTGATTTTTTCATAGCTCTTGACCTCTGCTGTCATCTTTATAAATAGGTAATCTATATCAGCAGACCATAGGCCAGGAGGAGATTCTATGTCTCACTTTAAACAAACTTCATATAGACTGGTTTGTTTTGTATCACTTCTTGTTTTTGAGCTAGAAAATTAACAGACACACTTTTCGACTTAGTTGTTTGGACTCGGGAAATATGTATTTCTATTGAAAACTCGATTTTGAAATTCTTCATGATCTTGCAATCTTTCTCTTACTATAGATGAGTATATGAAAGTGACATAATCTTATAAAATATATATTTTTCTTATAAAAAATAAAGCATGTTTAGAAAATAAATATTTATCAATAAAAGTTATCAATTCTAAGTGATAATTAGCATTTTTTATACATATCTCAATTGTGGTTATTGACCCTTATAGAATTAGGTGGCACATAAATTTTGCTATTTTTTAGTTCTAATTTTTATGTTTCTACAAAAATATTCCAAGCAATAGACAGGTTAATTTTTTCAGAAATGTTTAATATAAGCTTTCACTTTAAATTGATATTGGTGTACTCTTGGTAATGAATACTATATTCTGATGCAAGGTGAATCATTTGGAAATTCAAAGAAGATGGCGTCGTTCACAAGTACCGCAATTCATAATTCTGTTAGTTATCTTGGAGAATATTTTTCTTGAAGAAGTAACATTTACCATTTATTGGGTATTTATAATCAGTAATAGCTATAATCAGGGAAATTAAAAATGTTGATACATACAGATAAAGACAGTTGTTATTTCTGACAAATCTCCTTCCTCCTCCCTTCAATTAACAAGAGGTGTTCCTCAGGGCTCCTCACTCTGTTCTCCATTTATATTAGTAACCTTCCTGCCTCCATTCATCATTACCACTATCACTTATATGCAGACAATCTACAAATTTACTTATCGTTCCAACCATCTGAAATACCCGAGGCTACCCGAAAACTACAAGAGGATATTGACTGTATCCATAGGTGGGTGGAAACAAATGAACTGAAGCTGAACGCTGACCAAACTAAGGGAATCCTCATTGGTTCCAAGCACCTCATTAGTTCCTCTCATTTACTTTACATCAATAACCGTCTCATCCATTTCTTTGCGACAGTCAAAAACCTCGAAGTGATCTTTGATCAGAACCTCTTTTGGAACAATCATATTTCCCAGATTACCCGTAAATCCATAACTATCCTTAAACAATTCCATGATTCCATTCCAAAAAAAATCAGACAGCTCCTTGTAACATCCCTTGTTTCCCCCCACTTCAACTACGGTTGCTTGGTGTATGGAGGGCTGTCCATAGGACTGAAGGCGAGACTGAAGAAACTTATGAATTGCTTCATAAGATTCATCTTAGGATCCCCAAGCGTTTTCATGTTTCTTGTTGGTGCACCGAGTTGAAGTGGCTTTATCCTACTTCCCGATGACAATTCCTTCTTGTTGTTTTTCTTTTCCAGGTCCTAAGAACCAAAAACCTTCCCTTCATCTTAGAAATCCTTACTTTACGCTCCTTTATCCACTCTCTCAACACCAGATCTCAACCTATAGATTTATATATCTTCTCCCATAAAACCACTTCCTTCAGTAAATCCTTCGTCATTTGTGCTACCTCCTTCTGGAACTCCTTACCCATTTATATACCCCAAAACACATCCATAAATTCCTTCAAACAACTCCTATTCCACAACCTACTACAAATTCAAACTTCGCAAGCTTGTAAAAATTTCTGGGTTATATAATTACGTTGGTCACCAGCAGTTAATTGATAGAAGCCATTTTATTTATTATAATATATTCATTTTCTTTTTATCTCTGTATTTATTGTATATATTTGTGTTTTTCCTTAGTATTTTTTGTAGATATTTGTATTTTCATTAGTATCTTTTATATATATATATATATATATATATATATATTTATTTACAATTTTTTGTATATATTTGTATGATATCTACATACCAGACTAATGTACAGATTTGTTTAATTCTAATATTATTCTAAGGGTTCATCAATCCCAGAATAAAATTATTTTTTATTTCATTTCATAAATACCAATTTAAAGGCTTTGTAACTATTTTTGATGTAAAAACTGATACTTAATAGAGAACAAATTTTCATTTATTCAATTTATAACATTGATTCATTATTTATCTGCATACTGTGGTTATTCTTAAGGGGCATTGTCTCAGAATAAAGTTATTTTTGTAACAAATGTATTCTATTTTATTTACCTCATACATTCACATATATATTTTTTTTTGGTTAGCGCTACAGACTGAAGATCTTTGGCTGTATATTGCTTGCGGGAGCACAGATAGCCTGGAGAGAGTCACCCAACCTCACAGTGCTGCTGCAGACCACCTGCAGCTCCATAACTGATCCCTTTGGGGCCAATCTAGGAGTGTCCTTCCTGCAGACTCACTCGGATTCAAGAACAGTCACAGATCGGTCTAGGTCTATGGATTATGGCTGCTCAAAATCAGCAGGCACACGAGAACCTATATCTCTTTCTCCGAAACTGACCATCCTTGGACCAAACCTCAGGGAGGCTACTGACATCCCGGTAGAACACATCCCGATTCCCAATTTAAGTACACAGAGTAGGATCATCAGTCCTAGGCCCGGTCAGGGTGAGTTGCCTCCAGTAGGCTGACGGGACTCGTCTGGGAGAAGGGAGAGGAATCTCGGGCAGTATGGCTTTTTCTGGCGGACAGTCACCCATCCAAGTACTAACCACGCTCGACGTTGCTTAACTTTGATTACCTATTAAAAGCTCCTTAGCCTGCAGGGCTACTCCAGCTATCCTCCCCTTCCCCCGTCACGCACACACACATATATATCTACGCACATACCCACCAATTATTACTTAATAATTGTAGTTAAGAATTCAAAATGTTGAAAAAGTTATGTTAATAGAATATTGATTAGTGTGAAAAATATATATTTACCAGTATTTCCTGATAAATTAAATCAAGCAATTGTTCTGACAGTTTAGAGGTAGGCTAAAAGGTTAAAATTTACTAAAGTAAAAATTTCCTGAATTTTCATTTACTTCTCCATTATCTCATGATTGAGTGATCCATTTTTCACCTTTTAAACAATTTTCTGACTGGTCAGTGGTTTGCTGTTACTTGCCTATTAAAAAAAAAGAATTTATTCTTATACATCATATTCATATACATTTTATTCAAATCATCACATACAATATCACTTGTGAACGGGAGAATGGAATTTTTTTTAAAGATATCAAATGAGAAATTAATTTATTATTTGTTAATTGGAAAAATAAGTAAATCATTCGGTTCAATTTAGGGCACATTGTACCATAGCCTAGTCAGACCAATTTCCTGCCATAATTATGAGGCAAAAAAGATCATAGCCCAACAGAAGATATTAAACACTATTCCGGAGCAGATAGTGATTTGGATAACGCTGATTAGAATCAAACTATATCAGAGATTAAATTGAATTCACAAAACAAAATAAAAAACTATATATAAGGGAGAAAATTATGGATTGGATTTCAGAGGATCCTTTGTCTATATATTTTGCAGCTATGGGAGGATTCATTTTTTTATACATTATATCCATTAAATCATAACATTTACTGTCATATTTAATGTTTGGCTAATTTGTATATATTATAACTTTTTTGTAGGTCTTCCCTCCAGCTCGCTGATTCTGAAAGGTTAGGAGGGTTGTCATCACATATATCTCCCTTCACTATGATTAATGATATTGGAGGGCTGTTATCACAAGCTGGTTTTAGACTCATAACAATGGATACAGATGAACTTGTAATAGGTTATCCTTCCATGTTTGAACTTATTTGGGATCTGAAAGGTAGAAAATTGATTTGTTAAACTAACTTATGTAGTCTAGCCTAGTTGAAAATTTATTTTACTTCCACTTAATATATATTTTGGCAATTCTCACTCTACAGGAAGGATTTTATATATAGTTTCTTAAAGGCATGGGAAATTTTTTTTTTATCTCTTTCTGTAGTGAATTATTTTATTAATTATGTTTATCCCTTACATATTTAACGTTTCGGGATTCTGCCCCATCCTCAGGAATATTCTATTTCCTAATGTTCATAAATATCGCTCTGTTTGTTAAATATTTTGAATGTTCCTAAATAGAATAGAAGTAATAAGAACAATGAAAAGCGGCAAAAGGAAAAAAAAATATTGATAAAAAACAGAACAATATTTATGAAAAGAAGGAAATAGAATATTCCTGAGGATGGAGCAGAGCCCTAAAACATTGAATAAATATGTAAGAGATAAACATGATTAATAAAAGAATTTAGCCCAGTAGGAAGATGAAGAAGTGTTTTTGCATACCTTTATGAAACTAAATATGTTATTTTTTTGGGGGCTTTACCCACCACTTTGCCATTTCTGGCATGCTGTTGTGGAGGGGGAAGAGAGGTTTGTTTTAAAGGTATAACTAAACCTATTCTAAACAGAATGGGAAGGTCGAGATTTATTCTGTGGGTCCACCACGAAATAAATCCCTATATCTCTATAATTCTGTATGTGTAATATTTATATTCTATATAGATCTTGAAAAATTTCAAATCCAAATTTTCAATTTTTGGGTCACCTAAGTGCCGATAACTTAGTCTTGTAAAATAGTATTTGTTTGCACTAACAGATCCAGGACTTAATTTAGGGGGGGGGGGGCCTTCAGCCCGACAGATTTTTTTTATGTGTATATTACAATAATTACTTCGGAAGAAAGAAAGAAACTAAGTACCTATATGAAATGGCGTTTAAGTGATTGTTTAAGCCCTATTAAATGTAATTAGACGAACAATAATACTTTTAGAGATAATTTTTTTTCATAAAACATGGTTATATTTTACTATTTTGGGGGAAGGGAGTGCTTCACCCCGAAAGCCTCCCCATCGATCTGCCTGTTTGTGTGTCTATGTTAAAAATCAAGCTAAAAAAAAATGTTTAGAACTATCACCTTAAATATTTGTAATAGGTTAATTTAAATGCTTGGGCTTATTTTTATAGTTAGACTAATAAATATCAATTTTTTTTTTGTAATCATTCTCAAAATCTATAGTTCAATTGTCTTATAGGTATGGGAGAAAATAATTGTACTTGGAATCGTTGCAAGCATCTTAACAGGGAAGTAATGATGGCAGCAGCCGCGATTTACAATCAGCTTTATGGTTCAGAAGGAAAAATACCGGCTACATTTCAAATAATTTATTTTTTAGGTTGGAAGCCAGATGCTTCGCAACCTAAACCTCTTGAACGTGGTTCAGCAAAATACTCTTTAAAAAATATTGGAAATATCACGAGTGGATAAAAAATTATGAATGAATTATCTATGCTTTCCCAATGTTTAAACTATATTCTGGGAATGTTATTGGAGTAAATAATTTAATCCTGTTTTTATTCAATAAGTTTTTCTTTATATATTTTATTTGTAATTTAATTTGCTCACATCTTTGTATATTTCTTTATTTTATTATTTAAGAAAAATGTGTTCTAAAATATAATCATAACTGATGGGTTTGTTGTCTTTTTGAATTGTTAATAAAAGCTGTAAACCTTTAAACAGTATCACACATTTTATTTTTTACCATTTAGAAGCTACACTGAAAGCTATACTAGCAGCATATTAATCTAAAATGATTATTACCAATATTACCACGCATATATTGGATATATTAACAATTAAATTTAATAATAATAATTACATTTATTAAATGTCTAAAGAAGTCTGTACACAGTACAACCTGTTAATTCATAATAGTTCAGATTATACCCAGATAAGTGGGATAAACTTGTGACAATTTTTATTCTAGTTATAAACTTAATGAGTTAATTTCTTTGATTACAATAATAATACACTGTTTATTATGGGACAAGTCCATTTTGAACAACTCTCATCTTGGCGAGTATATTATTATAATTAGAGACCGGATTTCCATGTTATTGCACTTTTTATTTGCTTGCATGTAAAAACTCCGGACCCAGAAATCTATCCCTTTCAGGATCTGTAGAATAATATATTTAAATATTATTTTGCACATTTTTGGATTAAATTGCACGATTTTGATTTTCGTTGCATTAAATTGCACATTTTTGAACTTCTGTGATAAATAAAATTATTTACAAATCCTAATTTATACGTGTGTGATAATATTTATTTGACTGTATTGTTCAAATTCAATTCATTATTCAAGATAGAAAATAGCTAATACTAGCAGCATATTAATCTAAAATGATTATTACCAATATTACCACGCATATATTGGATATATTAACAATTAAATTTAATAATAATAAGTCCCTATGGTCGAGAGAGGAGGAGTTTATATTGTTTATCAAAAATTTTTTTTGTGTGTCAATAAGCCATGTCATCGCCAATTCTTCATCAAAGCCCAAGATTGATCCACCAATTTTGAAGGTTTCCTTCTCCTTCAGGCAGGAAAATACTCCAATCACCCCGAAAATTCAGGCAAAAATGTTATGAAAGAAAAGAAACTTTATTTGCGAATGACAAAAATTACATATTTTTCCCTTGCTCATGATTATATAAAAGATTAGGAAATTCCCTACAAAAGGAAAAAAAAATTGTTTAATTAATAGCAAAAATACAGCTTATTGAAATTTGTAAGCACGTTAGTTCCAAAAATTAATGGATTTTAACATTAATTTTTATTTACTTTGTCCATATTTAGCAAGAAAGTAACAATTGATTTCTCTATCTTATGATACGCTGCATTATTTTATTTTCTTGTTAATTTGTCATTTGATTCTTATTGATTTGTCTTTTGATATTTTATTGGCTTATTAATTTGTCTTTTGAAAAAAAAAAATATATATATATATATTTACATTTACATGTTTATTCCCACGCGTAAATTTTATGACATTCATGGTACATAGCCAGCCCACTTTAACCTTCTTCCCAGCCTTATAAATTCTTCACAATGTCAGGTTCACCTAGCAGATTATTATTAGTTCTGCCGTCACCACAGAGTAAAACATGAACTGAACTGCTGAGGTTCCTTAAAGAAAGAGATAACATCTGTTTCGAGGAAGTATATTTTATTGATATGGATGGATCCACCTGTTATGCCGACGTTGTAGGATTCCCTAAGACAGGAAAGTCAGCGAAGATTTTGGATTCTACCATGATATATGAGACCAATGACCTCGATCAGGCAGGCAAAGTGGAAAGGGAAAAAAGCAAACATATCAGAAATGTATCCCTTTCCTTAATGAAAAGTTCCACGAGAGGCCTTTGGTTTGGAGCTCGTGGAACGATACCAAACAGCTCTATGGAGGGCCTTGGTGTCGACATAAAGGACGTGACAAGGTTGGCAGAGAATATAATCCTCGACTCCCTGGGAATCATTCCCCACCATGTGGATGGCAGCGGATACATACAGCAGTCATGCATGTGTTACAGCATTTTATATTATTTATTGAAAACGTCTGCTGTATTTTATGAATTACATTAGGAAGAGAGAGGAGAGAATATGAGGAGGAATAAAAGAAATAGTCAAAAAAGAAGAAAAAATAAATAATAATAAAAAAATTGTATACTATGCTCATATATATTGTTAACACGATATCTAATATATTTGTATATTAGTTTTAAAAAATTGTCTATAATGATTAATAAGTATGCTGTGTTTGTAGGAACCCAATATAATTGGGCAGCACCCTTTTATCAAAATAAAGTGATGCTCGCTCTCCTTCTTGATTACCCTTCCTGAAGTATGTTTGATTGATTCTTCTAGGTCCTTGAATGCGCAGCAGAATTCTTCTCTCAAATGCCATTAATCATCGACTTTAGTAAATTTAATCACTGTTTTCTCAAAAACATTTTGTCTAGTTTAAGATGGTGTACTGAGAATTTGATTATCTTGAACAGTTTTTAGACAATTTCTTTTTATTCGATAAAAAACGTGACCACGTTAAGAAAAACAGAAAATTGGTCTGAACTCCATTTCTGTTCTAAATTAGCCCATGCATGAAATGAACTTTTTTGATGGGAATTTTGTCTAGAATCACTCCCCTCCCCATCCCGCAGAGTTTGGCCACTAATAACTGAGGCACCCTGTGTATTATTATTGGTCTCTTCTATCTCTTCCTAACCTCAATGATGCCTTTAATGATAAAAAAGTTGTCTGCCTATGGTATATGCTGTATTGTGATAAACCATTAATCATACAGTATATATTACACTGTAATTGTATTATTACTGAAGAATAACAAAGAGGGAGAATTGTAGGTTCCTAACAGGTGAAAAATATAAATCAAGATTTTTAGTACTAAAATATTACTAAAAACTAACTACAATGGGTACCATACCTCCCCATTTAAAAAATAATAGACATCACTTTTGTTACAAACAAGTAGTAACATTAAATTATTTATTTACCTTAAAAACAAGGTACAACATTTATAATTATCACATATTTTTCTGAACATTACGTGCCAAATAACAAAATAATATTATAAGTTTAACAATAGTATTTGCAAAAACTACAATTGACATAATATTATATTCTTAAAGTTGAAAATGACTGCCAATTTTACAAATATACAATCATTTAAATATTAAAATTGAGAATTACGTTTTAAATTATCAAAACAATTATTTCCAAGATAAACTTAAAGATATCAAACAATAATAAACAGAATTTTATATTAACTAAAAATATATTTGAATAACACTCACATACAAAAACTATACAGGTAAGTGGAATGTATATATATATATATATATATAGGTATATAATATTTGAATAGAATAACTTATTGTCTTTAAAAACATTATCATGCAAAATGATTATTCTCCATTTTTAAGAGATGTAATGGATGACTTCAAAATTTGTATTTGAGCCTAAAAATATAAAAGAAGTTATATACACATATTACCTGATATAAATAAAATAAAGTATTGAAATAATTATAAGATTACCTTAGCATGTTTTATTTCTAATTCTGCCAAGTCAATTAGGTTTTTACGAAAAGCAGAGACTCTTCGGGATTTGAAGTCAACAAGTTCTATAAAAAAAAAAGTTATAAATATGAAAATATAATGATTATACTTCAATTTTTGTCAAAAGTGTATATAAAGTGTTTCAAAAATAAAAATGTGGTAAAAAAAAGAAGAAGTTATGACAACTATGGTATAAGCAATTTACAACTTTTGAAAATTACTGACACCCTACTTATCATATAATCTAACTGCTAATACAGTTAGATAAACAAACTTCATTTTTATTCAATAAATCACAAAATATAGCTTAATATTAATATAGAATTCCATCTTGTGAAACAATAGAATTAGAGATGAGACTAAATATTGAAAATTTCTATAAATGAACTTTTTTTAAGGAATCTTGGATTTTTATTACATATATATATATATATATATATATATATATTGTTTTTTCGGTTGTCTCTACAGACCTTGTAGATCTTTGGCCACCTGAAGCTCAGCCTTATCTTTGTTTATCCTATCTATCCATCTGGTTTTTGGCCTCCCACGTGGTCTCGCCTACTATTCTTGCATTCATCGTTGTGTAAAGGCGTCCAGATGGATTACTACATGCCTCACCCATCTTAACCTCCGTGCCTTCATATCACGAGATATTGATTGACCAGTTTCTTTTAGCACTTCTTTATTGTTCCTTCTCCTCCATGTGTTCAGGTTCTGATCCCATATAGGTCCTATTATCGTACGGAGGACTTTTCTTTCGAATCTACCGATTCTGCTTTCTACGGTGCCAGTTATAGCTCAGGTTTCACAGCAGTACAGCAGAACTGGCTTTATCATGGCGTTGTGCACCCTTAGTTTGAGATTTCTGGATTTCAGTACCCTTGAAAGAGAGAAGGAAGTTCTGTTTGCACTTGTTTTTCGCTGGTCTATCTCTGTTAGTTGATTATTTATTGAGGTTATTGTGGAGCCGAGGTATTTGAATGTATCTACTTTCGGGAATGACAGAGTATATTCTTATTCTTGAAGTTTAGTTTAATTAATTTTAAATTTAAAACAAATTTTGAATAAAATGTCTATATCTTGAACAAATATCAGAGTTAAAAAGATATTAAATGTAATTTACATCAAAAAGCGTCCTTATTTTATGGAAATACATTAAATTAAAAAAAAACAACGATGTTTCACTAATCAATGGAAATTTGGGGAAGATTTTGTTTAAGAAAAAGTAATTGTGGTCTCTTACTCTATTAGATTTAGCTGGATTTTTATTCTATGTTTAAGAGAGAGAGAGAGATCTTCCCTAACATAGAATAAAATTTTCACTTTAAATTGAGTCAGAAAGAAAATTTCAACTTAAAACAAGACGTAAAAAGCATGATGATAAATAAAGATGAGAAAAACAAATATGAAGGTAACACAATTTGCAATAATTGTTACTCAACTATTAAAACGTTGAGATTTAAGTTTTGATAAAATTGATGAGGCGATATTGAAATATAATGCATGTAATACCATCAAAATTGCCTTTTATACTAATTCAAATCTAAAAAAAAATGTAGTATTTCTATGTATCAAATTTTTTTCAAGGAGACATCACATCATGTTTGACTAACATAGTTTTGACTGAATCAAATAACATGAAAATAAAACAACAAATAAATATTTTTTTATGTGTTAAATTATTACATATTTTAGTAAAAAAGTATAAGATATTCCTATAATTCAAAACAAAATTAACCCATTCCTTATGGCAAGCTCATTAAGTTCCTTCTCAAAGACTGGAAGTAAACTTCCCAGATCCTTAGGCAACTTCCCAAAAAAGCAATTATATAATGCTATAAAATTGTATCTTCTGCACAACCCATTTTCCACCAATGTGGAAACAGTCCATCATTATTCTCTTCCCTAAACCAAGTAAACCTGTTTATAATACTTCATCATAAAAACCAATAAGCTTGCTCAAAAATCTTTGAAAAAATCCTTCTCAAGAGAACCCTGCCCTTAATGGAATCCCAAAATATCCCTCCACACTAGTTTCGTTTCCGCTCACAACATTCCACACTTCAGCAAGACCTACATTTTATTGACCATATATCCTTAGCCTTTCTGGACATAGCCCAGACTTTCGACCGGGTGTAGCATGATGGTTTGCTTTTCAAGCTCAAAACCCATTACCCCAATCCTTGTACTTAGTCCTCAAATCCTACCTCTCCAATCGTGCAGATATCCCTACAGATTCTGAAACGTTCTAAGTAGCATTTGCTGATAATACTGCCATCCTGTTCTCCCACTCAGACCCAGAAATAGCATCCCTCAACCTACAAAAACACCTCTCTGGACAGAACATACCTTATTGACCTTTTTTTTTTCCTAGACCTATATTTATTGTACCTTTCCAACCCACCCATCATACCCAATCCACTGATATCTGGTGAGACTTATTTATCACTGACTCCACTTAAAACCTCTTATCCTCCTCCAAAAATCCTGTTTCCTTTCTCTCATCTCATGACCATATTGAAATCTCATACAATGTTATTATTCCTACACTTATTCTCAAACAAATTTCCTGGAGAGATCTTGATCCACTAACTATTGAAAACATCAGTCTTTATCTCAATTCACTATCAGTTTCCTTAGAACCTATCTATTCCCTTTCCTTCATCGATGACATCGTAGAATGTCTTTCTTCTAATCTCCTTGATTAACCACCAGGCTCCTCTTAAAACCCATATTTTCAGACGTCCTCCTGTTCCCTGGATGCATTAGAGAGTTAATGAGAAGAGAGGCTGCCAGAAGATGATACAGACATACACGACTGCACCATCACTATACTATCTTCAAATCTCAACAAAATATCTCTTCAGTTATATGAAATATATCTTCAACAGCACACAAATATCCTTATGCCAAGCCAAAGTGCGGCTTTAATAATGTACGATCCCAAGCACCGAATTCTAAATCCAAATGGACTATCCTCAGGAAAGAAATTTCTCTGTCATAAGCTCTAAAAGTTGTACAGTTTATCCAGTAGATTCGAACTAACTAAATTATTTTTTCGCAAACCATCTTCCTTCTGTATTCAAATCCGACCTCTCACTTTTCTCCATCTCTGAAACCTCTTTTGACCCAGATAAGTTTTACTTTCTAGATATCTCTCCAACTGACCTAGTCTCACTATCCTTAAAACCAAAACCCAACGACTTATGGTCCCGACCAAATACCTGTGAAAATCATCAAACTTTGCACATTTACAATTTTTCCCTCCAAAATTCCATTTTTCCTAAAACCTGGAAAAAAGTCATTGTTCGGCCACTGAACAAAGTTCCTGCTCCTTCGTTAGTTAGCCTCTGACTTCAAACCCATTTCCATTTTATCCAAGCCTCTAGAAATTTTACTTCACTTTCAGTTGAATAACTTGCACTTCCAAAAACATTAAGATCATCAAAATAACACAAACTCTATTTATGACTAAAAGTAACTTAGTGTATTTTTAAATGAACTAAATTCTTAATAATGTTTTTGTGAATTTCGATCTTAGTTATCGATAAAAAAAACAGTAAGCATACTAAAATGAGAAAAACTCTTTTATATATCAAATATAGTGACAATAAATGGGGACAACTGTCTGATTTTATAAAGGGAAAATTCATCAATGTTTTAAGTGATTTAAGATTATGAATGTCACTCAATGACTTTTTGTTATAAAACGATGGTATATTTAATCCATGAATAAGTAAGGCTTGTACTACATAGTAAAAATTATAGGAATTAAATCTCGTATCACATTTTACATATATGTAAACTCTTATATTTTTCCCAAGCAAAATTTACCAAAATACAGTTATGAGCTTTTTAAGATAGGTCAAAATTTGTAACACTACTTTAATTTTCTAAAATATTACCTAATGGTTTTTTGGAATAAATCAACGATATAACCTTATGATTTAAATATATTATCGGAAATAAAGTTATTCAACTTTAAACAGTAAATATATTTATATTTCACTTCTTCTTTAACACAAGTCCAATAAAATAGTTTTTAAATAATTTCATTGCCATGATTCAGTGGATTATATATTGCTATTGCTAGTGGAAAAGATCGTAAATAGGAAAATAGCAGAGGGAAATAAAATATGAAATTATACTAATAAATCATAAAGAAATAATTAAGTTTTTAATCTCTTCTATAAAAAAACTAATTTTTTACACATGACCTTTTCTAATAACAGTATCAATATATATTTTGTTTCAAACCGAAAAATAATTTTAACAATTTACATGTAGTTAGGTAATTTCATTTAGTTTCCATGGAAAGATTTTGTTTCTGTTAAATATCATTGATTTTCAAAAATTATTATTAATAATTTTTCCATTACTCTCTATTATCTTCTCCGATTTTCTAACTTATATATTGTTTTTTTTTCTAAAATTTTCAGCTTTCTAATCTAACGATATATATTATACGTATACATTCTGATTATTATTTTTGAAAATTCATTGTCAACCTAAAAAAAAAAATTTTTTCTTTTTTCCCCTTAAGTTAATGATCAAATTTTTTCATAGTTTTTATTGAGATTTTTTTTATTTTATTACATACATAGGTAAGTGAAAGTAAAAATGTTTAACATATTTGACCATAAGATAAATTACTTATCGTTATTTAACATATTCAGAATAAAATAATATACCTTCTTTTCCTTTATCAGACATATGCTCAAACTTATCACATGCCTCTTGCTGGGCAGCCTCAGCCTGTACAAAACATTAAAAATTAACGACTAATAAAATATTTCAGCATTTATAATTTGTACAAACTGAATCAAAACAATATACTTACAGCAGCCACATCTTGAGCCTTAGCAGCATGAGATTTTTAGGGATCACAAAATAACTTTAGTTTAAAAATTGTCCGAGAAGAATAATTTTGAAAATAAAAATTCTCAATGCTGGCAAGCCACCATATCACTCATTAAATACACTTTCATAACAAAGGATCAGATTCAAGAGTAACAAACACCCAAAATATTTACATAAAAATGCACTTGTTTTTGCAAAGATAGTTCCCAATTCTCTCGTTGAGGCGAGTGGTGGGGTAGACTAATGTGATCTATTATTTATGAGTACTTTTATGTTTGAAATATGTACTTACTGTACTGAATCCTGATGAGATAGCAAAAACAATTTCTTTAAATCCATTATCACTGCTCTCCAAATGCAAGCTGTATGGACCGATAGTAGAACAGAACATGTCTTTCCTTCCGATTTTTGCGCTGAAGTCTCCCAATACTACTATTTTGATATCGCGTCTTGGGAATCTGCTAACTGTGGACTCAAGCGCAGCGTAGAAAGCCTGCTTCTGTTCATCATCTTTATTCTCTGTAGGTGCATGAACGCTAACCAGCTTATATTGAAGAACTTTCCTCTGATTCTGAGAGCGCAGATTCTTTTATTTACCAAAATATAGTCCATTATCGCATGTCTTAAATAAGAATCCAGTGCCTAATACGTTTTCCCGATGTCCACTGTTAAAAAGAATGTAGTTCTTTAGCTCCCTCAATTCAACATTTCTCCATTTGATTTCTTGTATTGCTGCCAAGCTCTATTCTGTATCGTGCCAACCTGCCCTCCAAAATCCTGCTTGCTCCTGGCTTAAATAGGCTTCTGACATTCAAAGTAGTCATTCTGATAGGTTTTTTTCCTTTTCCGAGTTCCAAATCGTTTCCGTAGAGACTTTCCCGCTTTTCTTTGTAGAGTGTTCGTGACATTTGTTAATGGGGTGTCAGCCCAGACTAAACCTCCAACCTGGAGGACCAGGAGTATTGACATAGAGCCACTCTACGTGTAGCTAAGTTGCCTACTGAAGCTTTAGAGTCTTGCCTACTCTTTCGCAGTAGGCTATCTAACTAAGCCTGCAGGAGCTGCCGTTGACTGCCCCACGCAGTTCCTCCACCACCATCCAACCCCCTGCTGCTGGCACACCTCCTTCCTGGAAAGCCTATTTCCAGGTCTATCCAGTAATCCGAAAGGATCGGTTACCACAACTTCAGACTAGGTTGCTCAATTTAATGGGCCCACCACGAGAAGGTGACAGTAGGAGTTAGGAAGGAGAGGCTAAGTGGTCACAAATAATACTTTTGTCTTTTTAGGCAAAATCTTATGGGTGAAATTTTCTTTAAGTAAATTTTGGTCATGGAAAACGATTCAGATTCATTTTGTGTCCTTTAAAACTCTTAAAAACGAATTTGTTTTGAAATATAAATTTTTGGACTTAATTTTGCGGTTTCCATGACATTTACTAAAACATTCATAATTCCTTTTGATTTTAAATTAAATAAAGCCAATGTTACAGCATTCATTGGAAAACTAAAGTATTTCCCTTCAATACCATATCAATAACTTCTAAATTTAACACCTTCAGCCTTTATAACGAATAAATAAAGAAAACTCTCTAAAAGTATTAATTTTAAATCTCCAAGCATGATTTATTTAAGGGTTTCTGGTTTGTGACATTTTGTGTATTTGATAGGGCCCTAAATTCATGTTAATTTTCTTGTGGATAGGTGAAACTACTTTGAAGCTATAGCAATTTTAGGGACTAAAAAAAAAAAATAAAATTAAGGCTCAAACCATTTTTATAATATCTACGATAAACCTATAAACATACGTGGATCTCATAATGGCTATTATTGAGATAATAATAAGGCCGATTATTGAGCAAAAATTTTTCATTTTTCAATTGCAACAAAAATTATTATTTAAGGATTTTTAGAGGTGCAGATAACGAATATCATTTTTGTTTATCCCAAAAAATATATTTGATGGTATACAGATTGTATATTGTGTGTAATATATATAACATCTATTCTTATTTTCGGACCAAAGCAGGACAACATACCAGATTTTTTGCACTTAATCTAACATTAGATACCTGTCTAGTATAGAAAAGAAATTATATTTGGCCTATAACTATAGTAAGAGCAAAATAAAGGGGGCGGGGTGACTCAATGGGCTAATCCGTGTGCACAGCACTGCGAGTAGTCCAGCAACCAGATAACCAAAGTTATGGAAGATTAAAAAGTACGAGTTCGCATCCCGGTGCCGGAGGAGATTTAAATTCCCTGCCCTCACCCCCCGGCCCGGGAAAACCCCATATAGCCTTAAAGGCGAGGTAGGGAAGAACAAAAGAAAAAAAAAATACAAATTGAAATAATTTAACAATTTGTTCTGACCGATGGAGCTTAATGGGTTCAAATATTTTTATAAGGAAAAACAAAGTTGAGATTTGTATTTTGCACCTTGAAAAAACCTTAAATACAAATTTTCATAGCAAACAAAAAATAAAAAATGTTTGCCTAGGTTGAAGCCTTACATTAAAAAAAAAAATTATGGTACTTCAACAAGTCTTCACTTATCCACAAGAAAATTAGCATGAATTAGAACCCTATTAAATACACAAAATGGAGCAAACAAGAAGCCCAAAAAGAAAATAGGCTCAAAGAAATAAAATAAAAACATGTGGGGAGTTTTTGTTTATTTATTCCGAATAAAGTTAAGTAGTGAAATTTATTGATACGGTTTTCAAGAGCAATAAGATTTAGTATTGTTGGCATAGGAGAAAATCCCAAGAAGTTATGAATGTATTAAATTTAACATCATGGAAAAAAATTGTTTCATAAAATTAAGTCCATAAACTTATATTTTTTTATTTCAAAACAAATTTGTATTTAAGAGTTTTATAAAGTACACTTAAAACAAATCTTAATAGTTTTTCATGACTGAAATTTACTTGGGGTACTTTACTGGAAGCAACTTTTGGCTTTGTTTACATTGGAATTTGTTTAATACAATTAGCAATATATTTTTCTTATTTGTTACAAAAAAAAAATAATATATAAAAATAAAAAAATAAAATCAATTGATATATAATAACTTAGAAATCCATAGAAAGTGATATAAAAAAATAATTTCTTTCTTGGCTCCTAGGTCACAATGGCAAGAGCCATCGGACATAATTCAAATATTTTTCGACCTAGGATCACCAAAAAAAGTTTCATTGAAATTGGTAACCCCTCTTCTCTAACCGCTCCTTGTGAGTAAACATATGATAAGAAACTTTTAATTTCTATTTTTTCCAATAAGATATTTTGTTATGATGCTGTATTTAATGAGCAATAAATAAACATCCATCATATTTTACAAGAGTAGACATTAATTATGTAACGAACTCACGGCTAAAATATCCCTGTTTTTGGATCTTGCTTTTTCCAGGTTTCTATTTGCATTTTCATAATTAGCTAAACATCTCAGTCTCTTGTACAGAAGTCTTTTTGCTGCAAATGTATCTCTCATATAATATCTCAAAGTATCTGACAATTTGAGATCTTCATCTGAGGCAACTCGTGCCTCAGTTTTCTATAACAAAAAAAATAGAATGATTTACACTACATAATCAGTAAATTGTTAGGTTTAAAGCAACTTTAAGGCTAAATATTTTTTGTTTTTAAGCACGTTTCTAGAACTTAGCTTACTGCATGGTGACAGTAAATAAAAGATATATAAAACAGAAGCCAAGAATTTTACAAATTATAGTTCCCTTTTCAGACTTTAGAGCAGAAGTTCCCAACCCAAAGAAGTCTCTGAAGACTACTAAGCCAGAATTTGAACCATATATATATATATATATATATATTATCTCCATCCATGACATGAGGAGGATCTAGAATATCTCTCCTCCCACTGGGAGAAAAAAAGCTTCCACCATAAATGAATTTAAAAATAGGATGCTTTAATGTACATTATGAGGCTCTTATAGCATATAGGGCATTTACCAGCTGTTTTGTAGAATTAGAAGAGATAACTAAAAAAATATATTTAATTTAGTAATTAACAATTTCTTCACAGTAAATCAGATAAAGTTTATTTCAAACAAAAGTAGATTTTGTCATTGTTATGATTATTTAAAGAAGACTTTTGAGTGGCAAAACTAATTTCTGTTTTTAAAAAATTATGTTATTCACGATTTTGTTTTATCACCCTCCAACTATATCGCAGATACCCCACTTCAAGAAAAACATTTAGTTGGTCACTTATAAATACAGATAAATTTCAACAGTTGAGATCTGGATAAAAAACACAGTTTCATAACCACTTCAGATTATAAATATTAGAAGAAAATTATTTTTTACAATTTAGTTTGATTCTTCAAGGAACACGGTATTGATAACCCATTATGTTTGTTTTTACTTTCACTTACCTATATATGTAATATATAGTAAGGGTAAGCATTGCGATCGTGAAAATGTTTGACTCTGAATTTTCAACAGAAATATACGTTTTGAGGTCCTCTGAGTCCAAATAACCAAGCTCCATAAAATGGTCTGTGTGTCTGTGAACAGAAGCTCAATAACGAAAAGTCGTACGAAACTGGTATTACGTATATAAGATAGGTATATATGAATATAATGTTTAATTATGAGTTTATGTGTATACATCCCAGGTAACAAAAAATAAATAAAACCTTTACGATACTTTATTGTAGTAATTTTAGCTGAAAACATGGGTACTTTCAGGTGACAATATATTACATCACTTTTTTACCCAACTTGAGGTGAATCTTAACTTATTTTGTAATAAAATTTAATTTAATTTATATGGTCTTAAAGCTTATCAAACAAAGAAGTTTTTCTAAATGTGAGGTTTCTGTAATTTGAGAGTGATAAAAAAAAATCGCAAATATGATTTTTTTCAAACAGAACAAAAACGACCTCTTTAAATGGTGTAAACAATGACCAACATCACTTTCCTTTGAATGAAGTAAACTTTGTCTAGTCTAATGTGGAACAATCATACATTACTTAAATGAACTTTAGAACTGGAAACTAACCAGCACCCAAGAAAAGAGAATTAAAAGATTTGAGAGAAAAATCCTCTACACGATAACCACAGCGATGTGAGATCAGAGTACTAAACTATGTAGGAGAAGGACTAATAAAGAACTACATACAGAAATGGTCAATCAATATCTTAAGATTAATAAGATGGATGGGGGATGTAGTTCAGAGCAATCTATCAGGAAGCCTCTACACAACAATCTCTACGCAAGAGATCACGTGGAAGGCTAAAAACCAGTTGAATAGATCAAATCAACAAAGATGCAATAGAGCTGCATGCAGATAACTGGAAAGAAATAGTCCAAGATAGGCAGAGATGAAGAAGGCTGATTACAGTGGTAAAAGATCTATAAGGTCTTTAATGGCAACAGAAAAAGATAAACACACACTACATACACACATATATTTATTTATATATAATCAAAATAAATATACATATAAGATATACATATTTACGAACCCTCAATTTCTCAAAAGTTTCTGCAACTCTTGTGAGAAATTTTTCAAGATCTGTATTATCAGTTGTTGCCAGCTGCATTAAAGACATTGAAATTTTGATGTATAAATCAGCAACTTCTAGAAAAAAATTAAATAAACAAAAAATTAAGTTATGATATATTTAAGTAATCAAATATTTTATATGTTATGTTAAATAAGAAAGAAATAAAGTAAATTTTATTCTGGGACATTTAGTCCCCTCAGAGTAACTACAATGAACAAAGAAATGATAATTGTGAATAGCGGTTGTGAATAATTGAATGATAATTAAAAATAAATTAGTTTATAAAGTTGTCTAAACTTAATAATAAACTAAAGAAACATGCCATTTTTTCCTAATATTAAAAATTCTCAGTAGTAAACATATGAGCTTGAAGTAGACATATGAATTTAAAGATGATTACATATGGGTGAGTTCACATATTTGTAAAAATAAGCAATATGACACATACATAGATATCTGCAAGATATCGGTATAGTGTAACTGACATCTCTAAAGTACAAAATAACTTTATTTGACATTTATTCAGAACATTGATTACTGAGATCGAAATATAAATTATGTTTAAATGAGGTCAAGATGAGGATTTCCGTAAAGAGGTTGGCAGGGAATTACAAAACGAGGTAGCACATATGACAAAGTATTTTTTAAAGGAAACAGTTCTATGAGAAGGAATAAACAAATTTGAGGATTGGGATCTCATGTTGAACGAATGAACAGAGGAACAAGGAGTAAAGAAATCAAGAAGGTAAGAAGGTTTTTTGGTTGTAAAACTTCGGAAAAGGAATACACCTAGGAAATATTGCCGTCGGAAAACTGGATAGAGCCACTTCAACTCGGCTTACCAACTGGATATGTGGGAGCGCCTGGGGACTCTAAGTATAAATCTAATGAAAAAATTCATTAGCCTCTTTAATCTGATCTCAAGCCCACCAGACAGTCCACCATATGCAAGGCAGCCATAATCGAAGCAAGGGAAAATGAGAGAGGAAACTAGGAGCTGACGGATTTTAAGGAGCATAGAGTCACGGAATCTCAGGAACTGTTTGAGGGTAGCAATGGACTTTCGGATAATTTAGTAAATGTGATTATTCCAGGACAGATGTTGATCAAACACTACCCCAAAGTTTTTTACGGAAGTGTGGAAACCTATGAGTATCCTATTGAAGTAAAGTAGAGGATAACAAAAAATGAGATTAATCAGATGCTTGAATCCGATGAGAATGGCTTTCTTCTCAACATTCAATTTGAAGTCATTGTTTGCTGCCCAGGTATTAATTCTGCCGATATCTTCTTATAGCCTTCAGATCGCCTCAAGTATCTCGGTAGGATGGAAGGAAAGGTAGATTTGGAGATCGTCGGGATTTCGTGATTTACGGAATCGAAAGCCTTTGAAAAATCTAAGAGGACTAGGATCGAGATTTTCCTTTTGTCTATAGAGAAATGAAGGTTCTGGGAAATTTTCAGCAAAGCGGATTGGGTGGATAACTGGGATCAGAAATCAGACTGAAAGAGATTGAGGAGCGCTTTTTGATCAAGAAAGGTAATAAGCTATGAGTGGGCTATTCTTTCAAGAGGCTTTGAAAGATTTGAGAGAATGGAGATGGGTCTGAAATCGGAAACTTTGGAGGGAACCGGAACTTTGCTCAATGGGCGGACAATAACTTTTTTCCAAGGTGATGGGAAACAGATATTTTGTAAGGAACAATTGTAAATATGTAGTAGGACAGGAAGACATAATTTTATTAACTTCACAGGAAATTAGGTCCGGGCCATAGTCGTTTGTTCGGGATTTTAGGACCGAGGAAAGTAAGTCTTCTGGTAAAATATTTGTAAAATGGAAATTTTCAGGGTCAAAGAAAGCTTTAGGAATACAGTATGAGGAGGAACGTGGTAATGAGTAAGGATCGGCTAAGTGGTAATTCAATTGGTCTGAAAAACAGGGTAGGAGGAGCAGATTTTTGATTTTACCACAAAGAGGTTTTTAAGGATTTTCCATCTGGAATTAGGATATGAGGCTTGTGACAAGAAAGAATGCAAGAATTGTGCCTTAGCACATCGAAAGGAAGATTGGGTAAGGTTTCGAAGAGTCTTAAAAGAGAAATAGTCATCCGGATTACGTGTTCATCTGAAACATCTCCTTGCAGCATCTCTTCTTTTCATCAACTCTTTTATTTCTGGATTAATCCAGGGAGCTGCAGGGCGTCTGAAGGTAAAGGTCTTTAAGTGAGCGTGATGATTTAGGAATAGAAGGTTTGAGGAGAGACACTCCACCATTTCATCAATAGAGGAGTAGGAATAGATCGGACCTAAGGATTGGGTTAGTGATTCGAGGAAAGGATTTAGTTTTTCAGAGGTCAATAAGCCAAGATCCCACCATGTAATTTGCCTGGGAGTGAACTTAGAAGTCGGGACATTATAGTAAATCTTGATGAGATCATGATGTGAAAGGAAGGAAACAGAGTTTTGAGCGGAAGATAATAAGTTTTAAGGGGAATCGATTAGAAAAAGGTCGTACTTGGGTATTCAGTAAAAAAAGAATTAATTGAAGCACTTTGTTTGTTGATTCATTCTTAAATAAAAACTTTAAAATTAATAAAGTAGAGGTAAAGTAATAAGAAGATATTTATTCCTTATAGGATAAGTTAAAGCAATTTGTTGAGACAAACTAACGATAGAACACCAAATTTACAAATTAATACATACAGTCCATTTTTGAGAAATATATATTTTTTTTAAAGCCTTAAAACAGTTTATAGAATCGTGATCATCACATGCCCATGCCCAATAATGTGAGAAACATGATGAAAGTTGGGTACGTGGGCTGCGGTGCTTAATGTTGATAGAATAAAGAAAAATTAATGTTCTAACTTACTCAGGGTTGTATTTTATCTTTGGTACCGATGAAAATAAATTGCATTGTAGCCAATTTACTTCTCCTCATCCTCATCCTTGCTGCCCCTCTTGCCGTGGAATTGGAATCCTAAGCTCTTCTTTTACTCCTCCATTATTGAAGACATGACTAAAATAAGAAAACTTATGAAATGCCCAATCTCAACTTTTAACCTGGCTCTAGTTTCTCGCCATTTTTCTTCTAATCTCTTTTCGTTTCAGGTTTAATTCAACAGAGTTGTCCAATGCAGTTGAACATGGAAGACTGCCAAATCTCATTCATTTCAACATTCAGGGAACCCGAAACAGCCACCTTTCAGTTCTGGACTGCAAGCATGGAATGGGCATCTACAGCTATGCCATCCATCCACCACAACTTTGATCTTCCTTTCTTTCTTTTGCCAAATATTTCTTTTGACAAATATTTCTTTTGAGAGGATCTTTTTTGGAACCTGACCTTTAGCTACACCATCAGAGGCAGCTTATCTTAATAAAAGTCACCGCATCACCATCCTCATACAGTTCCATTAATTTAGCATTAGTCCGCTGTCTCCAGACTTGTTTTATTATTATTATTTTTTTTTTTGGCCACTCTGGCACTGCGACGCAAACTCGTAATTATTTTTTTATCTATAACTTTGGTTATCAAGTTGCTAAACAACGCATGGTGCTGTTTACATGTGTTAGCTCGCTCGGCCACCCCGCCCTCCAAACTCCACTTCCACATATTGCTTCCAAGATTCTCCCTTAGAATCAAAAGTTGTATAAACAATACACTGGATTTGTGCGATACCCCAAAATGATTACAGATCAATTTCAGTAGTAATACAAGAGTGATAATGGCTAAGTGAAGTCAGTATTAAGTTAGGTTATGTATGAAGATTATTTATATGGAAGTATTTAGCTGAAGAGCTGTTTATATAGAAGCAAATAAATATTTAAAATTTTCTGGGGTGTGTCATAATCTAGTATGTCTTTCTAGGGTTAATTTTTTCTATAATTATTTCTTTAGTTTAATTAATAAAACAAATTATTAATTTTTAAGTGGAAATATCACTCTTACACCAAACTGTCATTTAGTTACGGTAATGAGATCTTATCACTCAATGTGACTAATTTTTTTTTTTTTCAAAGGAGATAAACAAAAAGCTAATATTGACTCATGAAGGTCTAAATAACAGATTTTAAAATATGGTACTAACAAATCGATCAATCAATAATTCTAAACATCTAAGTACCTACATTAAAGTGTAGCAGTAACGAAAAATAAAAATTTACGAACCTCCTTGGCCACTTTTCACATTCCATAATGGCAAGGGATTCAATCCAAAAGGTTGAAAATTTCCACCAATGGCTTGTTTTCTTAAAATTTCCCTTTTTGACTTATTCACTTTCAGTTTCCATTTTATAAATGGTAACAACTGTACAAACAAGGGATGTCTTTTTTACTCAGCGATCAGTAGATATAAATCATGAATCTAGTTATAGTCTTCACAAAATATTAAAACTGTCAAATGGTTTTTATAGTTCATTATTAAAGGAAATTAAAAAATTGTCTCTTGATTTCATTTCAGTTGGGACAGTTATGGTAATGCCATTTTCTGGTTTCAAACTTTTAAATGATCCAGAAAATAATAAACAAATGCGTAGATAGTCTGAGGTTTTTTATGCTTCCAGACCAAAAAAAATAAAAAATAATACATATGTATGTATGTATACACATACACGTAAATACAAACACACACATCACATTATTAATTGAATTTAATCATACATAAATTATATTTGTTCTTGCATAAATACCCAAATAACTCACTTTTCAATAAGAAAATCAGATCAGACATTTGTCATTTTATTTATTCAACCAATGTCCCTTGAAAAATATTTCCAATTATAACTATGTAAAAAAAAAAACTTAGAGTTATAGGTTTACCTTTGTGTTTTGATGTCATTCTATCTGCTTTAACTGTAGCATCTTTTAAATGATTATGGTATTCAATTAGAAAATTTTTTTGTTGTTCAAAGAACTCATTCACATCTTTAACAGTTGCTGACAACAACAGTTCATCAGTACTGTGTGACAAAGATTTAACAAAACCCTAAAAATAAAAATATATTATACAAGTTTTATTATAACAAATAATAATAATAATATAAAATTATACAAGTCTTATTTTAAAAATATAATTAAATGAAAAAAAACTTGTATATCTCAATTTATTAAAAAAAAAATTTATTACAATTGTCAAAATATTTTTTTTTTTTATTCAACTTACTTTTAATTTCATAACTATTTTACAATTATTCAAGTTTACTTAATTAATTTATCACTTTTGTATAAATATCCTATGAATATGATTTGTATAAATTTCACATTACGTATTATACATTAGTCCACTTTTTAGCTCTCTGTAGTTCTTGCAATCTCTTTACACCCTCAATATGTGAAGGTGAATTACTCATTTACATCATTAGTTCTTCCTTTTTCTTGCTTACAGATCCTTACCACCTTTTTTCCTATTGCTACTTAACTTATAAGAATCATTGTGTATTAATACCAGATGTGTTTCTATTGATATGACTAAATCCTGTTATTATCTACTTACTTACTCCTTTATAAAATTATAATAAAATATCATCATTATTATTATTATTATTCAATACTTATCATTTATTATGTGTTTTTTTTTCCATTTCTATGGAATATGAACATATAGAATATTACGGCATTAACTTATAGCAATCACCACATCTTATTTATTTTTATTTGCTACTTATTTCTCAAATTTATTTATATTACTTAATATTCAATTTTTTTATATGACTAGATAATGAGTGATCATTGTTGTAAATAATGTTTGTTAATTGTTATTTGTAGATGACTTGAGAATGAATTAATCAGCTCGAAACGTTGTTTAAAGTAGAATAAAATTTTTAAAGTACAAGGGCTTATATATCCTTGAAAACAACTTAATATTAATATTTCATTTTAATTCTTCGTTGTTTCATTGTTTATTACTGCCATTGGTCATTACTATGTTATTTTGTCACTTTACTTTGTTACCGTTACTTTATTACTTCATATTAAAGTTTTATATACCTAGTACTGTCATAAATATTGTTACTAGGAAATATATACAAATTTATTAATTTTTTCAGAAAAACCTTTATTAGAAAATAAAATGTATATCTATAGAGAGTAAAACAAAAAAGAAATTACTCAAAACGTCCCCCTCTTGCCTTGACACAGGCATTTAATCTTCGTGGCCAGTCATCAACAGCAACACGCAGCACTTCCTGCTTGAGGAAAGCGCTCAACTGCTTTGACCAGAGATTGTTTGAGGCTTTCACAGTTAGGGTGTGCTCTGTGGCATGCCATCCTCTCCAGTTCTGACCAAAGCTGATAATCTAGTAGGTTGAGATCAGGGCTTCCTGAGGGCCAATCCGAGGCAGAGATGAACTCTGGAATGTTCTATTGCAGCCACTGGTAAGTTGATCTGACTTGTGAGCTGGAGTGGAATCCTAGCAAACAGAGTATCATTTAGAGGCTTAACAACAGGTTCCAAAATATCGTCCTGATAGTTTTTAGCAACTGTTTTAACTCCTTTTTCACAAAAATGGAACTTTGTGGTGCCATCAAAGCAAACTCCCCACCAAACCACCACTGTGGAAGGGCGATTGACCTCTTTGCACTCTTTCAATGACTTTCTGGGCTTCTTTAGAGCTGTGTGCATACAAACGATCGTTTTGAAGATTAATTTTTTCTTCAATTGTAAAAATTTTCTTATCGCTAAACAAAATCTTTTGATGCCAAGGAACATTTTGCATCTTTCCACTCTAATTATTTTAGGGAAGTGGTTAGCCTTTGTCCTGTCATTCTTCAAAATGTACCCATCCTAAGGTCACTTTTTATTATATAAGACATTTATCTGACAGAGATTCCCATTTCCTGAGACTTGTTTTGTGGGATTTCTTCTCAATTTAGCAGCCACTGCATTTGCCATTCTCACAGTGCGGGGATGGCCCATATCTGGTCGACATCCGTCACATACAGATATGGTCTAATTATATCTATTTATAGTGCGGTACACGAACATACGGCTGATACCCAAAGGTTTCAAAGTGTTGAAAATCTCTGACCTGCATTTTCCAACTTTGCGTAAGGCGATCATAGCTATCCGTTTTTCTTTATCACCCCACTCCATGTTATCTGAGCGAAAGAAAAATACAAACTAATTGGAATTATAACCTGATATGTAAAGAAAATAACCTGATAAGAGGTAAGGATTATCTAAATAATATCCAAGTATATAAACAAAGTTCAACTTTTGTAACAGTATTAATGGCAGAACTAGATATCATAGGTATCATCATCAACATATTATCCATTCATTAGTTATTAATTTTATTTTTTATTACTAGTCTAATTTATTAAAAAAATGTTCATATTGCATCACACAATCCATTATCCTCTAATATTAAAATTTAAAAAATGTTTTTTATATTTTTATGTCTTATGAAATACATACAATGTAATTGTTTATTCACTTCTTATTAGAATTTATACATTAGCAGATAACTTATATTTTGTTTTCTTATCTTTTCATAATAGTTTTTTAATATCCTTTTTTAGCTGTCTTCACGTTGTTTTGTCAGTCTTCCCGATGGACTGAAATTAAGGCTAAAATGTTAGCACAAAACAAAATAAATTTTTATTTGTATTTATCACTGATTGCAATCCCAAACTAACTTAAAAAAACACAACTGGCTACAGAAATAATCCAATCCACCCTATGGGAATGTACCAGAATATCTACTTAAATACCTAGGTAAATTGATGTTTATAAGTATTTAAACTTGGTGCAGAAGTCGGGTGCCTCCAACCCCTAAACAAAACTCAGACTCCTTTGGATGTAAGACATGCACCAGTACTTGGATGGTACAAATATTTTTTTTCTTCCCTTCCTTTTAGGCTATACAGGATTATTTTCTGGTCAGAGGAAAGAGGTAGGAGAATTATGCCAGTTTTAAAAGTCCTTCAGGCAACGGGAGGATTTGAACTTATAATTTCGGTTTAACATCTGTTGCTGGGGAATGCGAATTTTTCAAATGTGTTAGTCCGCTCGACCACCCTGCCTCAAGTACGGATGAATATAATTATTTCAGTAGTAAGATTTGTTTTTTAAAATTAAATTGTATTTTTATTTTTCAATTATTGAAAATTTATATTCAATACATATAATCATGAACTTACACATGGTATGATAAGAAACTAACGAAAAATTGAGATTACTCTAAGTATAATAAAATATTTATGAACTTAACCATCAGTTAAGCTGTTAGACACTAAAATCTCTTTTAGTGGATTGATTAAACACATTTTATAGGATTGATTTAACACAATTTATACAATATTGAGTCAGTGTTTTGAGCAAAAATTGTTTCAAAGTTAACAATTTGAATGACTAAACATAAAAATCAGTACAGACTTTAGACCAAAAAACCATTGTATATACAGGTGTTCAATTCAAATACATAATTCTCCAATTGGCTGTGCCTTAGTTAGGTAAAAAATCAGGTGCGTGCGTGTCCTGGTTTCAAAACAGCAATTTCTTTATTATTCACAATGACTACAACTTCCAACCCCAGTTCTGGGGGCTTTTATCTCTGGCATTAATCCCCCACCCTTTCGGCTGGCCCGGGAGAAACTCCATATAGCCAAAACGGCAAAGTAGGGAAAAACAGAAAAAAAAACAAAAAAAATTTGAATACATATAGGCCAACATGGAACCAAATTTGTTCCTTGATGTCTAAAACACAAGTAGAAATTTTTTATATTGAGCACAAACATTTTTTTACTCTTCCACATGAATACAAAGTTTATTTTCCAGTGGAAGTGAAGATGCAAAAATGAGTACCTGACATTTGTCAGAGAATAAACTGAAAATATCATCTCTGACGAATACCATAAAGATAGAATCTTATAATATAAGGTGTCTTCAATCAAGAAAAGCCATTATAGAACAAACAAAACAATGCAGTCCAGATACGAGTAACAAATATACACTATAAAAACATAAAGTTTTATAGGAAATAAAAATAAATAATCATAAATACTACCTCAAACATTTCCATTTTATTTTTTGATCGAACTGCCAGGTCTTGGTCATATTCTAGAAAAACTCTAAAGTTGTGGTCATTTCTAAACACTGGATGAGCAGCTAACCGGCAAAGAAATACTTCATGCATGGCAACTGTCTTCTTAAATGTTGCTAAATATTCCCTGTAAAACAAAAATTTGATAAACTAAGAGTGTTTTTAAAAAACTAAAGTATATAGATGAAAAATTTCGTTTCTAAGTCAGGAAAACCAATGACAGAAAAAAATCTATATACATCTTAAAATTAACTTAATAACAAATAAGTAAACAAAAGGAAAACAGACAGAAATGTCGAAACTTTTAACTTAAGAAATGTCGAAACTTTTAACTAAGAAATGTCGAAACTTTAACATAAAAGTTTATTTCAAGAATATTTAGTAATAACTAAATATTGTGTTTATAGGTTGTGGGATACATTGCATCAGATTTTTTTACTTTCACTTACGTATATATGAAATATATAGTAAGGGTAAGTATTGTGATCGTAAAAATTTTTGAATCTGAGTTTTCAACGGAAATACACGTTTTGGGGTACCCCAAGTCCAAATAACCAAGTCCTGAAAAATGGTCTGTGTGTTTGCATGTTAGCAGTCTAGCTCAAAAACGAAAAGTCGTACGAAACTAATATTACATATTTAAGATAGGTATTAATAACTATTTTTCCTCAATTTTTATTCAAAAAATCGATTTTATTTACCAGTCTTGGTCTTGGTCTTGCAAAGTTTCAAAACTTGTGATGTCCTATATCTCTTTTGAAAACTTGGTCAAGTTATTAAAGTAACTGCGGTCTTCACTTCGAGCATTAGCGAGAGATCAAGGAATGCCTAAGTTGCCCATTTTTCTGCTGTACTTAAGACATTCCTAGATAATATGCTTCACTGTTAGGACTGCATGACAATCTTGGTATTTTGGAGGTTCCTCTTTTGTCAGCAGATAACCGTGAGTGAGGAGGTTGTGTCCTATTTGCAAACGAGTTATTACAACTTCTTCTCTTCTTGATTGTCTGGAGCATGACCATCTCTTAATGGTAGGTCTAACCAATCTGTTTATTTGATATTTGTTAGTTCCATATATTTAGCCGCTTACCCCACATGTCTTCTTCTATTGGCTAGAAAATTTCATTACTTGAAAGAAAACAACTTTCTACTTTATCTAACTGATGGGCTTCAGTTGCAGCTCTATCGGCCAAACCGTTACCCTTTATGCCAATATGGCTTGGTACCCATATAAAGACAACTATTCTGCTCAAAATTTTAAGACTATGGAGAAGGCAATAGATTTCCCTCATGACAGGATTTTCTGAATAGGGTTTATTGATACTTTGGAGCATGCTCAGTGACTCCGAATAAATTACAATAGTATCTTTCATGCTAGAAAATCCTATTTGGAGACCTTTAAGGATGGCTGGCAATTCAGCTATAAAAATTGATCATGCTTCATTCAATTTTTATTTTTGAGATTTACAGTCACATATTACGGCACATGATCTCGAATTTTCTGTTTTGGACCCATCAGTGTAGATGATTGCAGAATTTTTGTAATGGGGGATAATGCCGGGGCAGAGATGGGCAAATACCAAAGTGAGTACTGAGTCCCTAGAATTTTACTTAACTATTGACCTTCCGATTCTGATTACAGTACTCAGATATTTAACTTGCCCGAATCTGAGAATTTAACTCAAATGTCGAACTGGCCAACTATTTGTATTTTACTCAAATTATATTAACAGATGTGCCTTTGTTCTAATTACATAAATATTGTTAAATATAGACTTTTAATTGTTTAACTCACTAATAACAAATTTCAGATTTCTTTTTTAAATAGTATCAATCTTACGATCCCGTTGTATGCATACATCTATTTAAAATTTTCAAATAGGTACAGTTTTATAACATGTTTTTAGAGACCTGATTTTTAAAAACCAATCCTGTTATATGCATACATCTATTTAAAATTTTCAAATAGGTACAGTTTTATAACATGTTTTTAGAGACTTGATTTTTATAAAACAATCTCCATTTCAAGATTACGCCACTGCGATTTTACTCATATGAGTTTTTCGGATTTCTTTCATATGAGGGTCTATTTATGTTTTCGGAGCCGTAGTTTTTGAAAATGATGTCCATTTTGAGATTACACCACTGTGTTTTCACTTATTTGAGTTTTTCGGATTTATTTCATACAGGGGCCTATTTATATGTTTTTGGAGCATTATTTTTTTTAAATGTTAGGCCACTACATTTTGACTTACTTGAGTTTTTTGGATTTTTCATACAAGAGTCTATATATATGTTTTTGGAGCCGTATATGTTTTTAATAACATTTACAGGTCATTGAGGTGCAGAAGGGGACCATTGCATGAGTCGTATATGATCCATATTAATAAGAAGGAAAGGATAATAACTAAGAAAAATTGAAAAAAAAAAAAAATGGAAAAATATTATTTAATAGAAATGGAAACTAAATGAAATGCACTAACTAAATGTAAATTTTAAAAATTATTTTTAAGTTTGAAAAATAGTATGATCTTAACTTTATTAATATAGTGTGCTACTGTTAGTGCAAAAGGTTGTATGTAACAATTTTGTATGTTAATTTTATTTGTGCTAAAGGTGATATTTTATAGTCTGCAACTGCTACCGAACCAGCAGTTCATAAATAGTCTGCTACTATGGAAAATAGCAGGAGAAATAAAATATAGAATTATATCAATTAATCATAAAGAAAAAATCAGTTTTTATGCTCTACAGTAAAAAACTTCAATTTCTGTCTTTTGGAATAATAGTAGCTTATTGTTATGTTAAAGAAGAAGAAGAATATAAAAATATTTCATGGATGAGTAAAACATGTATAATCTTATATACATTTTTTTTTTTTTACTAGCCTGTTCCTACAACCATGATTCAACTTATAGGGCCCCCTAATTAAGGGAGTAATGGTCTAACTTCCCGCAGGAACCAGCTGTACTGTGAAGTAGGGACGGACCAAGATTCGATCCTATGATCTTAACTTTACTAATATAGTGTGCTAACCACTCTGTCATACATGTCCCATAACCTTAAATTCATTTACTGAAGTTTAATAACTTTAGATCTGATAATATGTTAAAATAATTAGGTAGATCTCATCGTTTCTTTCAAAACATTATTAAGTAACTTTTTAGAAAATTAAATTAGTGAATACTTATCATCATCTACTTACAATTACTGTGATGAATTTTGATCTATCAATGCTGTATAGCAAAGCTTGTAACAGTATTTTGATAAATTTTACAAGAGAAAAAGATAAGAGTTTTAATATATCTGAAATATGAAATAGATTTAATTCCTATAATGTTTACTATGTGGTACAATCCTTACAATCATAGATTGAATATATCGACAGCTACACTACAAAAGCCTGTAAGAACGAAAACTAAAAATTTTCAGTAAACAAAAAAACTGTTTATGGTCCGTGGTACAGACCCCTTTGGATCGAATTATTAACATCCGCCTGAAATGTTATAAAAAGTTTCTATGTATGTAGCTATTACTTCATCTCATCGTAATCCACAACTATTTTATTTACGAAAACTCTTGGAATTGGGGCGTTTTCAATCTGGAGAGGGGCAAACTTTGTCTATTTAATTAGGTACTAAAAGCTCGTAAATACCCATTTGCATTCTACTTAGATCATAAGATAATTTGATCAGAAAGTCGATAAAAAAGGTGGCTTTCACAAATATTGGGCCGTTTGTCCTATATAACATTGTTATTTTGAAAATTTGGGGGTGTAGGTTACGCCAAACGGCTCAATATTTTTGAAGGCTACCTTTTTTCTCGATTTTGTGTTCACGTTATCTTACGAACCAAGTAGAAAGCAAATGGGTATTTACGAGTTTTTAGTACCCAATTAAATAGACAAAGTTTGTCCCCCTCCAGATTGAAAACGCCCCAATTCCAAGATTTTTCGGAAATAAAATAGTTGTAGGTTGCGATGAAATGAAACTATTTACAAAGTTTCAGGCGGATGTTAATAATTCGATAAAAAGGGGTCTGTACCATGGACTATTAATTTTTGTTCTATGAATATTATAATTTTGGTTCATTTTTTTTGCTCTCCTAAGACAAAGATGAAATGCTCTACATAACTTTTTTGATCGTATGTCTGCCAAATAATCTTTTAGAGCTATTACTTCTTACTTATAGCTTTTTAGTTACTTTGAAAAACAGGCATTAGTCACATAAAAGCAATCAAATTTATTTTAGTAACAACCAAAACTTTGTTAATAATGATCAAATCATGACAGAACCAATGTCAGTTTCCATAATGTAGAGGAAAGATACTTCAATTGAAAATTTTACTGGAAAGCGAGTATTTGATCAAACAGATCAACGTACTCAACTTCATATGGACATAGTTTGATTCACGAATTATTGGTAAGTTTTAGGTAACCTGCTGATGGGTAGATCACTTCCTTTCTGAGCTTCTTACAGTTTCAAAGATTCATTAGTTTGAAAAGCTCCACCTTCAATGAAACAAGAGTTCTTTTTTCGTCTTGTGTTAAATTTTTCAATCATGGAATCAATTCTCTGTCTCTCACTATCTGGAATTTGGCGGCATTGCAGCTTCTTTCCAGCCAAGCTCATTTTGTAGTTGCCAGGAGGTTTCAATTGTTTTGAAGGCCATTCAATATTATATTCCCACTTACCACTCTCTTCTTTGCTTCATCTAGTTCCATGGAAAGCAATGCCAGCCTCAGGGCAGAGAATCCTGGGCATTTGCCCAGAGGCACCAGGCTAAAAGTGCCAGCCACTTATTAGAAATTAAAAAAAAAAAATACTAAATGTAAGAGAAAAATTAATTTTAGCCTATTAATAAAGCTAATTGATACTGTAATCTATGTGAAAAACGCTTTATACATTCTACATTTACCTGACTACCTTTCTATGAGCAGTTTCGGTAATGACACAATCTCAAAAGCCTTTACTGTAACTTACAGTTTTTAACATCAAAATTAGCTGGTTTTTAACTTACAGGTTTTTACAAAAGGCCATAGAGAACAAATAAAACATCGTAGATTTCCTTTTGTGGGATCAGAATGACTGCTTGTTTATGTTTACTCATTTAGGTTATAAGAAAACTTAAACAATGTTTTTCAGTTCAGTTTTAACAAATAAATGCCTGGATAAAATCCGTAATTATGACCAGCTTCAAAAAACTGTCCTCATCGGAAAATAATTAAAATTGTGATGTTATATGAAGTGAAGGAATTTTTAGGAGAAATAGCAATGAGGATAGGGTACCATCAATCAATGGTAGTAATAGTTTTGAAAAAAAAAAAAGGCACCATGGAGCGAAAGAAATGAACTGAAAGGAGAAAAACAAACAAACCATTTGACCGCTTCATAGTGCAATTGTTTTTAGAATATTGCTTAAAAACCGGCAAAGAAATATTCAAAGATCTTGCAGATAGCAATCTAGTAAATAAAACAAAATTGTTGCTGGGTGCTGCAATTTCTATGAAGACGACTATGTATTATATTATAGTAGTGTTTCATAAAATTTGCCAATATTTCGACTTATATTGTAGGACTTCATCGGGGCTAAAAAAACAAGACACATACAATAAAGATTAATTGATACAAGGCACAAATAAATAAATATTAAATTAGTACAGGTTACCAGATAAAGGATTGAAGATCCAATAAGAAATAATAAGAGTTTAAATGAATTATAGAATTGTTAGAAATACAATGTATTATATATATATATATATATATATATATATATATATATATATATATATATATATATATATATATATATATATATATATACTATATTATTCATTATCAGTGTGAAGTATTTATCAATTTGATGAAAAATAAAAAAAATTAACTTAGCATGTAAGTTAAAATGTAAACTAAACTGTAATTATGTAGAATAGTACAGAATATAAATGACAACTGACATTCAGTTTTTACTTTCACTTATGTATATATCTAATATATAGTAAGGGTAAGTATTGCGATCATAAAAATTTTCGATAGCATCCTCAAATCTTCAAAGACACCTCTCCCTGATTGAGCACTGGTGTAATAAATGACGTATTAAAGTAAACGAATCCAAATGCCAACACATCACCTTCACGCTCCGACGCAGTTCCTGTCCACCAGTACACTTTAATTTCATCCAGCTTCCTTTCTCAGACAAAGTCCGGTACCTTGGCTTTCTCTTAGACAGACGACTAACGTGGAACCCTCATACTAGACTTAAAAGACAGGAACTAAACCGACGATATGGCCAACTATACCGGCTACTAAACAGGAAATCTAAACTTTCCATTGAAAACAAGTTACTGATCTACAAGACAATATTGAAACCTATCTGGACTTACGGACTTCAACTGTGGGGAACAGCAAAATTTTCTAACATCAAACGCATCCAATCCTTTCAATCCAAAGTCCTTCGAACAATAGTCGATGCTCCTTTCTATGTAACCAACAAAACCCTACACCATGACCTTAATATCCCATTTGTCCTAGACCTTATCCCATCAAAATTCTCCAAATTCCATCAGAACCTTACCCATCATCCAAATCCCTTTGCACAATCTCTATCCAGCACCACCCATCCATATAATCCTCCAAGGAGGTTAAAACGGCAGTGGCCCCGCGACCTTTTATAGTTTGTAAATATTGGAGTTCTGGCAATGGCCAGATTCTCCACTCACGACATGAGTGTATGTGGCTTAAGCACTCTTTCTCAATCTCCACTGGGTTTAGCCCCAGTGACGCGGTTGAGAGAGAAGTGCTGGGATCTCCTGGAGCCATGCTTTTCCCTCCACACTTGGAGAGACAAGTCTGGTTTGGAGTTCCCTCACCAAATTGTAAATATTGTGTATAGGTATGTATGTGTTCTTTTTATTTATTTATTTTTAGATTATTTTATTCTTATTTATTGTATATATGTTATTTTTCTGTATAATTTATTTTATTTACTGTACATAGAGTGTGAATGTGATCTGTTAACACTATTATAAATGTCCTTGAGACAGATTGTAATATTTAAAAAAAAAAAAAAAAAAAAAAAAAAAAAAAAAAATTCGAATCTCAGTTTTCAACGGAAATACATTTTTTGAGGTCCCCTGAGTTCAAATAACCAAGTGTCGCAAAATGGTCTGTGTGTGTGTGTGACTGTCTGTGTGTGTGTGTGTGTTAACAGTCTAGCTCATAAACGAAAAGTAGTACGAAACCGATATTAAGTGTTTAAGGTTTTTATATGGGCCGGATGTGACAGCAACTTTTTCGTTAAAATCGGCTAACCGGAAGTGCCACTTTATATGAACGCTGAAACACATTTTTACAATTTTCTCAAAAACGATTCTAACGATTTTGATCAAACTCGGTGTATCATTGTATAATTAAGTGGTCTTTAATATCATTTAGGTCTTATCCCCATTGATGTCACTTTACAGGGCTTAAATGCCCAATGTTCATATATGTCTTCCTCTAAAGTACCTTTAATATGGTTTATTTTAAAAAGTTAACCATTTTGCATTATTCAGAGTTACGAAAAAATGCTACATATAACTTTTGAAAGAATTTGATAAATTAATAAAGGAGAAAAAAAATAAAAATGCAGAAAAACCTGCGTTCTAAACGTAACCTGCGTAGCGCCTAAACGAATGTACCGATTTCAATGAAACTTCGCTAAAGTCATTTTCTCCATACCCTTTAAATTTATCTATATAACATACTTCAATGAAAAGAAGCTGGAAAAAAAGTTACGAAGGATGTTAAAATTAAATTCAGAATAACTCAAAAAGTATACGCTTTTTGTGGATATTGTATATGGTTTTTTAAAAGTTTATGGAATTTCCTAAAAAAACAAAAAAAAATTGTTAAAATCGGACAATTAGGAGGAAAGATATGGTCTCTAGTTTTTTTCCCTGAAAAGGTGAAAATTTGGATAAATTAAAAATATTTTTTTTTAGTTGTTGAGACTAAAAAAACCTTTTTTCTACAGATATTTAATAAAGTGTCTTTCCTAAGAACATCTTTAATAATAAAGTACCTATGTAAATACTTTTATTCTCAGTTCTATATTTCAACACTGCAATCACCACCTCTTGAATCAACATACTCATTGTCTGCATAGATAACTTTTTCAACTAAAAATATCACTAAAATGACATCACTCAAAAATGTTGAAATTGGAGTTAGTCATTCTGTGGTTTATAAAAGGAGAGAGAGTGAATAGATTTTTATTGCCTGTTGTCGATTTATTAAATAGACATTTTGTAATTATAATGGTCTCAATGACTTGTTATCTATAAGCTTCAGCTCCGTTTAAAATGCACTTCAAAAATTTTTATAATAGCCAAGCATTGCCAGAAAATAATTTCTATTCAAAGTAGATCGGTAAGTGAAAGTTGTGTGTTGAGCGCACCAGATTTTTTAATGGCTGTATTAGGATATTGGAAGAGTATAACATGGAATAGCGTTAAAATAGATACATTAAGAGTAATGACAAAAGCCAACATACCATTTCATCTAGATCTGTCAGGAGTATGGAGACTGATGTGAGGTATCTGATAGGAAGGAGATGGAGACTATATATATATTTGATAAATTGCTATGAACAATTCATCTTTGGGACACCGAGGGACACCTCTGTCTCCTATTTTTATGAAGAGTGGCTTTACCCTTCCTACTGTCGTAAATATTTCCTAACATCCTTCCTCTTTCAAGATATCCAATCCAACCGTCCATCATATAATACTGAGCTTCTTCAATTTGAATCCTCCATTGGCTCCAACAATACTCTTTCTAGTATAATTTGATTCTCACTCCTCTTGATCTTCATCCCTTCCTACATTAGGGGAACATCCCTTCCTACACTTTAATACCCTATCTACTTAAAAATCCTACCTACTCAATCACTTTCTAACCAACCAGTTCCCAAATAATTGTTAATAGGTGTATCTGTAAATAGGTACAGCCACAGTCATAGAAATTGTATCATCTAGTAACATTTTTATTTTATTTACCAGATTACAACTGCAAGATCTCCAGAAATTTCTTTGCCAGTTTTGAAATGATATTCTAAAAACAATCACACCATTAAGCGGTCAAATTGTTTGTTTGTTTTTTTTTCCCTCCCAGTTTCTTTCTTTTACTCCATGGTGTCTTTTTTTATTTCTTTTCAAAACTATGACTACCATTGATTGGTAGTACCCTATCCTCATTACTATTTTCTGTGAAAATTCCTTTAGTTCAAGTTTATTCAATTGAATGTTTTTGTTATTGTTTACTTATTAACGATACAAGATAACTTTAACAATGTTTCTCAGTCCAATTTTAACCAATGCCAGGATAAAAGCTATAATTATCACATATATAAAAACAGTCCTCATCAAAAAACATTAAAATTATGATATTACATGAAGTAAAGGAATTTTCATAGAAAATAGTAACGAGGATAGGGTACTACTACCAATCAACGGTAACGTCACAATTTTAATGTTTTTTGACGAGGACCGTTTTTGATAGACGTGATAATTATAGCTTATATCGTGGCATTGGTTAAAATTGGACAGAGAAACATTCTTAAAGTTACCATGTATCCTTAATAAGTACAGAAAAACAAAAACAATCAATCGAATAAACGTTATCAGCATAAGAATCAAAAGAAATAGCTGATAAAATTTCTATGACCGTAACTGTATATAAATTATAAGTTTGATTTAAAGTATTATAATTTCTTCATTTTTTTTTTTTTTTTTTTTTTTGCAATATAGAAAGTTAATGTATAATTTTTAAATACTTCTATTTGGTTATCCTTTATATGCTCCAAAGCTCAACGTTTTATTATTCTAAAGGAATGCTATTATAAATAAAGCATATAATAATTAGCTTATGTAGATATTATTACATCAATTCATAATTATTTAATACAACTTACGCTTCTAATTCCTGTTTCATCTTAATGTACTCCTCTTTGGTAATGGTTCCTTCCCCTTCACCAAGCTTCTGCAATTTTTCTCTTGAGGCATCAAAATCTGGTCGTGGAGGAGCTGGTGGGATCTAAAAAGAATCAGTGTTATAAATAAGCAAAATTAAATAAGATTATGCATAAATACACAAAGATCTTAAACATACGATGTATCCGGAATATTCTTCATTTTCTTCAAACCTATCATGAAGCCAAACAAACTCTTCATGTTGTCTTACAACAGTGAAATCAGTTTTTTGAAATTCTGGTAATGCTGTCTAAAATAACAAAAAATCATTAAAAATTATGGAATCAGGATTAAAAAAAATTTATTAAAAAATCTAACCTTGGTATGAACAGTAAATTTGACTTTATCTTTTTCACTTAGTGCATCAGAAATATCCACAACTAATGAATTATCAGATAAATCCACTGTTTCTGATCTAGCTTCCTAAAATAAATCAATTAATAGGTATAATATATAATGCCAAAGAATATATTACTACAATAGTACAATTAATTTTTGATTAATTACTTTTAAATTGTTAGTGACTTCTTCAATTCCATCCTACAAAAAAAAAATATAATAAAAATAAAAACAATTTAGGCTTAGAAATCCAATAAGATAGCTGAACTTTACCATCATTTTGACACTGGTTTTTTTTTCTTGGATTCATAAAACAGTTGTCCAAAAGTGAAAGAAAAAGAAAAATATTTTAAACCACAAAATAAATTATAAAAGAAAGTGAGTAAATAATGCTATATAAAACAAGTATGTTTTGTGATAAATCCACTAATTATTAACCGACATTCGAACTAGCGATAATTATATTTAAACATCTAATATTCGTTGGCATTCACTACTTCAGCCTCAACTTTAGACAACTCCTATCAACAAGAATAGACTAGCTGATAAACTCCAAATGATTGAGGTATCGATACTAAAGAAATTTCCAATGAAATAAGAAACTTCCAATAGTTAGACTGTAATATCTAACTTCTTATATATACAAGTATGTATTTCGATAGGTAAATACGAAGGTGATTGAAGATATAATATATAATAAAATGTTCTTGTTGCACAATGATTTTTATTTCCAATTACTGGATACATTACACTGACGACGGGACTTTATCCTAAAATTAAGTGAACAATATTTATTATGTCACTTCCTGATAAGTCATCAGTAAGTCCAACAGTGAAGATGGACTGGAACCTATACAAGCTACGGACGGTAAATTTTTCTATTGGTATACTATACAAAACAAAACTCAAAGACGTGATTTATTCCTTGATGGGTTAAATGACGAAGCTTTAAAGCTTATAACGACATTAAATATTCCCAAAACCAAAAGATTTAACCATTTCAGAACTTGCAAAATTATTCAATAGTTATTTTATTCTGTTGGAATCATGCTTAAGAGACCGTAACAGATTCTACAATAGGAATCTAAGGATTCTAGCATATTGGAGACAGAATCAATTAATCAATGGCTAACTAGCATTCAGGATTTGCTTACCTATTATGCTTCAATAATCATCTTGATTTTATTCTTTTAGATAAGTTAGTGATAAGGTATGTAAATAAAGGACCGGAATTTAAAAAAAAATCCTGCTAGTATTTCGCTACGTAGAGCTATAGAGGCAGCTACAAAAAAAGATGTGACGCTTAGGCAATATAATTTAGATATAGAGGTTATGAAGAAACTGAGTGTCACTAGGGGACAAGCTTATAAAAGCCCAAAGAAATGTATATAATAATAAACATATATACTTGCAATAATTGCCATAAAATAGGCCCTCTAAGCTCCTATTTGTAGTCTAATAAGTCGAAAAACTGTTCGCACTATTTTGAGTAGGATATAATTCTGGTTTCGAATCTTCTTTTATTGGCACAAAAGATGCGTATATTTGCCTGCTCTGCTAGCTTATCCCACGATGCTCTATCTTTTGTCATAATGATAGCTTTCGGCGGTCACTTCTAACATTGTATTGCCATCTAGTTTTGGATCTACCTCTCGAGCGCACCCCATCTGGATCATACATATGTAGTCTCAGGGTTGGTCTGGTGTCATCCATTCTATAGACATGGCCCAGCCATTTAAGGGACTGAGCTTTTGGAAACATGGATGCTGTCTGTTTCTGATAAAGCTGATATATTTTCTTGCTCCCCCTTATACTACATCTTCCTTAATCCTGCAAATGTCCGATTTGTCTGAGGACTGTTCTTTCAAATTTGACAGCAGTGGATTAGTTTATGGCGCATGTCTCACATACATGGGTTATTACAGGTTTAGTAAGCGTCTATTACCTCTAATCTTAGTGGTCCTCCTCAGCAACCTACTTCTGTATAGATTAATAGAAAATAGAAATAGAAATAGAAAATAACTTTATTCTGGGACAAAGTCCCTTCAGAATAACAAAGTAGAACATAATTAAAATACTACATCTGGCCAAAATAAAACAATAATAAAACAACAAAGGCCAAAAAAAGAGAAAGTAAAGAAAATATTAGTTAAACAAGCTATATACAAAAAAAAAATCTATATACAAAATACTTAAAACTATGATAAAACACTTAAGACTATGAAAGTTATAAACAGTTAAGACTATGAAAATTATGATTATACTCTTGAAAAATAAAATAATAAAAAATACATTGAGTTCTTCTTTAAAATGAGGTGTGTTTCTGCTAACAAAGAAAAGACAAAGCTGACAATATAAAATATCAGTGTCTTTAAATAATGATTAATATGTAGACTCATCATTGTCAAATGCTAGAGGTACAGATTTAATTATATACCAATAAAAAATAATAATAAAAATAAAAATAAAAAAACAAACAATAGATGCGGTCAGTGGCATTAAGAGCCGGAAAATATTGTAATATCCCTAGTGAAGTTCCCAGTACAGAATAGCACTATCGTTTGATGATGACTAGAAATGTATAATATCGAAAGTTTAGCAAGTATCTGACTGTTTTTGGGATAGGAATTGGAATAGGAGGGATTTGAATGTGGATATAGAGGGGGAATGCCGAATTTTGTTAGGTAGAGAATTCCAGAAATTGACAGCGCCAGCTATAAAGGAATTCTGAAATGAGGCAGATCTGTGCGAAGGGATGTAGAGGTCAGAAGGTCGAGATCTTGTTGAAAGGGAATGGACTGAGGACTTGAATTGGAGAAGGTTGTAGGCGTAAGAAGGACGATGGTTGTTAATGATTTGATAGAGGAACGTACCTAGGAAATATTGTCTTCTAAAGGAGGGGAAGAGCCACCTTAACTCAGTGTAGTGGTGAGAGACATGGGAGTACCTCGGGGCACCGATAACAAATCTTACGCAGCTATTCATTAATCTTTTCAGTTTATCACGGAGCTCCACCGAGAGGCCATCATACACCACACAGCTGTAGTCAAAGTGGGGGAAGATGAGAGAGGAAATTAAGAGTCTACGGGTATGTTGAGGTAGGAGATGGCGGAAGCGATGAAATTGTTTAAGCGTAGAAATTGTCCTACGGGAAATGTGAGAAACATGGTAGTTCCAGGAGGTTTGATCTATGAAAAATCCTAAATTTTTAACAGAGGAGTAGAAGGAAATTGGCTGGTCATTAAGGTGTAATATGGGAAAGTCAGTATGGGATCTAATAAGGGGCTTGGAACCAATAACAATGGCCTGAGTTTTGGCAGCATTGAACTTTAATCCATTTACATTTGCCCAGGCACTGATTCGATCAAGGTCTTCTTGAATCTTGGCAAATGCTACCAATAACTCAGAGGGAGAAAAGGATAGGAAGATCTGGGAATCATCTGCATAAAGGTGGTGGGAACAATGGAGAATTGAATTATGAAGGTCGTTAATGTAGGAGCTGAAAATGAGAAGAGATATGCTTGAACCTATGGCAACTCCGGAGGATAAAGGAAGGTAGGCAGATAGTGGTTGATTGGGTATGGAGAATGCTTGGGTGCGTTGGGAGAGGAAAGATTGGAACCAAGAGATGGAACTATTGGAGAAAGATAATGATTTTAGTTTGTTGAAGAGGATGGAATGGTTGATGGAATCGAATGCTTTGGAGAAGTCGAGGAGTATAAGGACAGTTAATTTTCTATCATCTATTGCAGATTGAATGTCGTTGGTAATTTTGATTAAGGCAGATTGTGTGGAATAGCCGGGACGGAAACCAGATTGGAGAGGATCAAATTGGTTGGACTTTCCGAGAAACTTGGAGACTTGGGATTGCACCAGTCTTTCAAGAGGCTTTGAGACTTTAGAAAGAATTGAAATTGGACGGAAATCTTCGGGTGAGGATGGATTAGGCTTTTTATTTAAAGGAAGAACAATGGCTTTTTTCCAAGAGGTAGGGAATACTGAATTCTGAAGGGAGAAATTAATCAGAGCAGAGTATGTTTTATTTCCTGTAACTAACTAATCTAGCTATCATCTCCTCATCTTCATTGATAAGTGATCCGAGATAGCTGTTCCTACATAAGGAAAACTTATCCAATAAAAACCAACAGATCTAATCAATCACCAGGTATCACTTCTTCTTCCAAAATTTTTTATATAAATTCTTGGAATACCGTAGCAATGTCTCAGTTTGCTGATTTGAAAAGTTCCACCTATACCGAAAGATCACCTATACGAGGCGCCTTATAGTTTTTCATTCCTTCTATTATCTCCATAATATCCTCTTGGTTGGGCGGTACATCACTTTCAATATTCTTCATTTCTGTCTGTTCAACTTCTTCACCGTTTACATGATTCAAGAATTTCTGAAAATATTTTTTCATATTGCTTCTTCTCTTGTGACTAGTACTTCACCCTTAGCATCCTTGACCACTGTTTTTTGGGTTCCTGTACCCGTTCTTAAAGCTTAACACTTGTTGGAATGGATGTAGGGACCAAAGTTAACATCTTCCTATAATTTTTTCTAGTTTCATTATTTTTCTGTAAGATTTGATTTCCTCTACCTCTTTTAGCAAGGCTCTTCGCTTTTACAACTTTCTTGGCACAGGTTCTTGCATCTCCTCATTCTTCATGGCTTTGCCAGGGTGTAAGTGCAAATTTTTCATGTTTCGCTCCATGATAGCTTAATCACGTTCTGTGCCAAACCAGACATTGAGCCTTTATTCTATGTAGATTTCTTTTGCTGCATTAGAAATAGCTATTTTTATATCATGCCACATTGTTTCGATTGCTCTTGTCTCTTCTGTTACATTGGAAATACTTCGAACATGTCATGTACCTTTTGCTTTTATTGCCTTCATATCTTCTCATCTCTTAGTATATCACGATCCGATGCACTTTTTAACTTTCACCCTGTAGTTTTACCAAGGGTCTACAAAACTACTATGTTCCCTCATTCAGAAATGGGTAGGGGACTTTAATCGTGACGTAAAGACTAGAACGCCAAACCTACCTATTTCCCTTTCAAGCCTATCACTGAAAGTTTATTTGAATATTATTGTACTTTTTTCCGTTCTCTTTCTTAGTTTATTGAAGAGAATACCCTCGAGGATTATTGACGTTGGATTGAAGAGGGTTTCAAGTAGATAAATAAATAAGATTAGCAACCTAGAATAAAATATTATGAAAATCACAGATCATATTTGTTATTGCTTATGGTATATGGTCTTTCTCTTCTCGTTCGAACGCATTTCAAGAAGTTTATTTATTAATTTAGGCCAGTTTTTCTCAAGATAGTATTGGGTTCCGTCCTTAGTACCCTCTCTACTGTTGATCTCTGTCCATCAGGATGCACAATCAATCAACACAATCACTAGAATCTCAATCAGAATTGTACATTTTCTGATTACACTGCCATCCTATCATCTAATTCAGATCCTAAAATAGAATCCTTGAATGTACAACGGCACCTTTCCCTAACTGAACATTGGTCTGTCAAAGTGAATGAATCTAAATACAAACATGTGATCTTCACCCTTCAATAGAGATTATGTCCACCAGTTCATTGTAACTTCACACTACATACCGCTTCTCTACTTTTGACACAGTCTGGTATCTTTGAATCCTTGGAGAAAAGAACTTTACCTATGATACAGATAACCGAGTAGAAAATCTCATCTTTCAGTTTACAAATTA